GCAATGTCAGACAACACGGCGTATGCGCAACTTCGCTTGAGCTGTCACCCGCACACTTCTAATACCAAAACACACCATCCCTCGCTCTAACCTTCTAAAATGTCTTAAAAATTAATTAAACCAAGGCATGGCAGAGAGATGGGCTGACTGGCTGGAAGAGAGATTAGCTGACGGAAGTGGGCCAAACCCAAAGCCAAAGTCAAATTTAACTCTTACTAAGCCATTTTCTTTCTACTTTTCGTCTCTCCATCCCCTCAGAGAAAACCCTATTCAAGTTTAGACAAACAAAGCGGTGCGGCAGGCAAATGAATTTCCATATTTTCCAACAGCATTTTCCTGCCGTTAGCCGCATTTGCATAATTCCCAGCGTCTGCAGCAATTAAAATATTTTCACTAATTTCATTTTGGGCCAAAAGCGAGAATTACCATGGAAATTATAACAATTGAAATGCATTAAGTGCAACAGCAAATAGCGAAGCCCCTCCTCTCGCCTGCTCTTTTCCCATAAACTCAAATGGGGAATGCAAAAGTGTGTGTGTGGAGCATCAAAAACGGCAACAAACAAACGAAAGGAGGGGTTCTATTTCCACACAACGAAGTTGCAACACGCTGCATTTAGATTTTAATTTGCATTAACAACAAACATGCAAAACGCTTTAAATTTTTCGTGTAAATACAAGTTAAGGCTTAATGGACAATTTATTGGTGAATTTTCAACATTAATTCAGGCGATTAGGTATGAGAATTAAATTTAATGCTAGGCTTTAAACTTTAAAGGAAAAAGTTAATGTATTTGATAGCTCTTTTTACTTAAAATGGGATCAAGTAGATAGATTACTTAGTAAAGCGATTATTAAATTGTATTTAAGGTATCTTCTTTTAATAATTTAACATCAAAACTAAGTTTCCTAGCTTTCTAGAGAAGTTGCATACCCCAAAACAACCCAAAACCACTAAAGAAAATGTAATTAAGATGATGGAAATGTGTCTTGGATTTCACTCAGAGTAATTAAAATATTTTAATAAGGAATATCGTAGAGCAAACTTTCCTTTTACATAGTTTTAGAAATGCTTTCATAACTTCAACCTTCAACTACTTTGTAATATCTAATGGCTAAAGTGTTAGAATACCTTCAAACTCCTAATCTTAGTTCTCCTTTCCCTTTTAACAGTTTTTTCCAGATTATATTCCAATATGAATCCTGCCCTGAGCCACCCAAACCAAATAACAAAATTCTAATGCTGCCCCGACAAAGTTGCAACTATGTAAATTGGAGCAGGGCTGCTCCGTTGGGGGGCACACAAAATGAGCCTAGGAGGAAACTTTTGTCTGCGGTCCGCACGACTCCTGCCAACTGGTGCCAGTTCCGCTGTTGCCCCTCATCAGCCCATTCCATCCCCATCCCCAGACCCATTCCCAATCTACTTTGCATGCGAGAAATGTGGCGTATTTTGCAATGCTTCCAAATGAGATTCCGCTGCGAGCTTAATGCTATTGTTGCATGTTGCACGTAGGAGAACCCACCATCCACCGTATCCTGCGCATCCTGCCGCACGTCCTGGTTGTTTACACTCGCAATGTTTTCGTTTTGGTTGTCACCGTCTGCCCAAATACCCGCAGTAGCTGCTGCTGCTTCACCGTCTCCCCGTCGTCTGCCACCCTGCTGATCCACTCTGAATTTAACTCCTCCCGCAGGACAAGTCCTGACTTCAATACGCACTCATGCAAATATAATCGGAGCACACGCACATCGCTTTCCCTGCGAAATTCCCATCCCAGAAACCTTGTGCAATCCACAGGACATGTATGTCCCCATGCGATGTCAACGGCAGAGCTCTAAATAACTTTTAAATGAAGCACAGGATGCATGCATGACCGCCAAACAACTGGCCACAGTCAGCCAACAAATAGTGGGCACACTGGGAATCCCTAAATTGAGTATTTGCCAGGACCTGAATGTCGGCCAAATATACAGAAAATAGCAAATGTCAGATCCTTTTGTTAGATCTTTCAGTGGGTTTCCAATGGGATTTTCTTGATTTTAATTTAAATTCATGATCATTCTTTTGTGATCTTAATGGGGATAAGCTTTTTATGAAGGTAGAAATTTACATATTTTCTTCAGTCCCTTTATATAGGATATTCTTTTAATATTTCAATATTCTAATTATAGTTCCTTACTACCCTACGTTCCTTACTAAACTACGATTATATTTTTTAACTCTCAATAAAAAACAAACTTTCCTGAAGTTTGTGAGTTAATCGACTTTTAAATGAATTACAGGAGTGCGGCATATTTTTGTAAGAACCTTTCTTTTATGTAATCCTTTCGGATCGCCACATTTACCCATTCCCTTGTCCGCAGGTTGCGTTTCACGCATGGCTGCTTCTCTTGCTTCTTTTTTCCTCCTTCCTCCTCCTCCACCTGCTCGCTGTTTCAATTCATCTCGCATTTCCTTAGGTTTACATTCTGGCTTTTTCTGGCCGCCAATTCAGCTCCACTCGGCCTCAGCGGACTTGGACAGCCGGGACAACTTGGACAACCTGGACAGCATGGTTTCGTGGTAAAGGTCCCATTGTTTTAAACTATACACAATCTGCAGGAAGATGTGTGTGCGTGCGAAACTTTTTCCTTTTTTCCCCAGCTCATGCGTTTATGAAAATTGTAAAAATATATATGTATAGCGGACTTCCCCCTTTTTACATTTTAACATTTTCCTGGCCCCACAGCTTGCGGTGGCCAAAGTGTGAATGTGTGAATAAATAAGTTGGGTGTGCTTTTGTGTGTGTGTGTATGGACCGAAAGTTCCCGCCCAGTTTGGCGTGGCTAATGAATTATTTAAATGTAATTTTGGCGCGTTAATCAAAATTAAGTTAATTAACTGTGCCTGCAATGCTTTAATTAGGCCGAACAGAATATATGCACTCTATGGCACTAGTGGGATGTCCCCAAAGAGAAATCGAGATGCCGCGCATTAATAAGATATTTTCATGGGATAAGAATAAAGGTAGCCTACTTTCAAGGGCCCAACATCAGTTTTTTTTTCTTTGCAGCTTTAAGTTGAAGAAAAGCATGCTTAGGTATCATAAGAACTTCAGTTATTAAACTAATCCCAATTCCGTTGACCACCCAACGCAATGATATGTTAGTTCCACTTTTGTGGTCCTTGTGAAATGGGGCGGTGATTGTAATTCAACCTTTGGCCCGTTGCCGCTTTTCAAGGCAATTGAATTACAAGTGCAGCAACCTGAAAATACAGCCAGCACTTGTGCTGCAAGACGACAAAGACGGAAGTAGCATGGAAGAGGCATGGCGGAAACGGAAACGCCTGCCATCGGAGTGCGGTGTGGGGGGAGAGAGCTTCATAAATCCTCACTGGCAACCGACCGCAGCACCCGACAATCCACATCCTCCCACTTGCCCCCCTCTGGATCCAGACACTGAAATATGCTTGCGTCAGTGCGATGCCAAAATCCAGCTGCAGCTGCTCCACAAAAACGATACAAGCGGTACGACTGAAGGTCCAACGACAAGAAGTACTTATCCCTTCCACAAATTATTCACTCTCATGCGCTTAATCCGCAAAAAATACTATAGTTGAACTCCTCGAAACGGAATTTCCTGCAAGTTCCAACTTAATTGAATAACAATAAAGGGCGGCTCTCTTCCGAATAAGTGAGCTGTATCACGAATTATACTTTATGATGAGATGTGAAAACTAACTAAGGCTATCTCTATTATTATCTTAAAGTTAATTTAAGAAATTTGCCGCAAGTTAAGAGAATTTCTGTAATCTAAATATTTAAAGAAATTTCAAGACTATGAGTTTTACTACCATTTTCTGTAAATATAAAAATAAAACAAACTATGTTTAACTACTTTCTAAATATAAAATCAAGATAACAATTAACAAGTTCGTTGTAAAGAAGCCTAACTGTAAATGACACAACAAAAAAACACTCGCACCATCTCATCAGTTTCCCATTCAATTCTCATGTTCTTCACCTTTTCTCTCCTGTAATTGTAATTGCAATTGGGTGAGTGTGAGTGAGTGTTATTCAATGTGCAGAAAGCATTAAATTGTCAAGCAATTAGTTATGGGAGAATAAAAATAACAAGATAATGCCATTAATTAAAGCTTAATTCAATTACAGAGAGTTATGAGTCAGTGAGGATTATTGCGCTGCCCATTAAATGTAAATTAATACAGATTTGTGGTCCCAACTTGGGGGACCAAACTTTTCCCACTAATGGCGACAGCTGCAGATGCTACATGGCTACATGAATTCTCGAGAGCAATGCAATTCAGTGTGTTTCCAATTCAAAATGTTTCTAATTGAATGGCCCAGCTAGCAAATATGAACGTGTGTGTGTTTTAGGGTGGGGGCAAAAATTCGCCAACTAGGCAAAGTGAAAAAAAAAAAAAAACAATGTTTGTAAACGAAAGGCAACACGAGTTTGGGGCTTAAACCACAAACAAACAGACATCAGCACAAAATCTGATTTCGATTCCTATTTAGAGTGAAAAGTAAGGGGGAAATGGCGAAACAAAATGTGACCCTTGGGAAATGTCGCCCTCGATTTTGACAGAATTAGAAATGCAAAAGGATTACCGGGCAAACGATTTGCCCAATAAAATGTGTCAAATAAAAATTGACAAAGGGGGGAATTGGCAGTCCCAAAAGCGACATTATTCATTTGGTAAACGTTTGCCCACCGGGGGGGAGGCACAGCAAAAAGGGGCAATCTGGGTGTTCCATTTGAATGCCCCCAGCGATGCCAAAGGTCTCAGCACTATTGAATGTTCATTGAAAAGTACCAGGACTAAGAGGACATATGCAAAATAAGCGAAGCTTTTAAACTATACAATCTGAAAGGGTTAAAGTGGGTTGTGAAGAACGCTTAAATTTCGGTCATCACGTGCTCGTTGAGTAAGCAAAAAACCAAATCCAAAAACCATGTGCCATTTATTCCTTTTCAACTATTTTTGAACTTAACTGTAAAAGTCGTTTAATCCGCTTTCCTTTCGAGTGGTGTTCAATCAACAGTCAATTTGCTCACACTGCATGACTTCGAAATCGCGCGAACTGCAGGCAATTTAAACGCAACAAAAAAATCAACCGCAACACACGTAGAGTAATCGCGAACAGTTGCAGTTGCACTAAACTTCCGCACTGTTTATGCCACGAGAATTGCTTCGCTGACGGTTTCCATTTGGCGGCAAGCGAGGGTTCTTGCGCACTGAATGCGTTTCGAACAAACACCGTTATTTTCCGAGCCTCAAACATAAACAAACCGGCCCCTGGTCACACTGCTAATGTTAACATAACAGCACTGCAGTAGCGGGCCAACAACAATGTAATTGCATACACATGCAAATTGAGCCGGCTTTTGTAATATCTTTTGTTAAAAATGGTACGTTTGAAAAAAAACTTACCCATTTGGCACCCGAGATTTCAGTATACAAAATATTAACAATAATTGAAGTTAAATAAAATAAATATTTCTTTTTGGAAAACTTCTATTCTCTTTCTGCACTGCAATTCGCCGTATGAAATAGGAGAAGTGATGCCAGACAATCTGGCAACTCCAAAAGAGCTTTCCCTAGCTATAAGGCAACCTCGCAATAGTAATCGATTTATCAAAATCTTCATTTCATTTTTAAGATTTTTCTTAAATGTTTCACGTTTTCTGATAATAAAATAAATAATAATCTTCTTCATACTCATCAGTACAGAAAAACAAGATATTATTAATAAAAAGCACTGCAAATGGCGTGCTTTTAGCTTATTTTAGTACATTTTCCATAGCTCAACAGTATATTTTAACGGCCGGCAAACGGTCACACTCGAACGAGACGAAGACGACGACGACGCAACTTGTAGCAGTAAAAATATTTATGGGATTTTGCCGTGTTTAAACGAATTAACCAAACTAATAATATATTGAAATCAAAGTGAAAATGTGAACGTTGTGTTTGCTTTCGATATGACAACCATTTAAAATGCATTTCAACGTGATAGCTCGCTGTGAAAATTTCGTACAGGCAAAAAAGAGCCGATTTTTAGTAGAAGAAGAAGAAGCAGCAGCCGAACAGGCAGTAAAAGCAATCATCGAATACACGGACAAAGCGCACGGCGAATGAAAGGCGTGTGAAGAGAAAACTTGCAAAAATTACAGCAACAACTCAGCGGCGGCAAGCGAAAAAGTGTGTTTAGAAAAGAAATTAAAAACACACGAACATATACATACAAACATACTCTGTAAAACGAATAAACACACATACACACAAAACAAGAGAATTGGTGCAAAAAGCTAAAGAAAAAAACGAAGTAAAATAGCGCGCGGTTTAATAATAAATAATTATATGTATGCGCGCAAAACATGTGAAGAGCCGGGGAGCCGCTAATACAAATACGAATACGAAAAATCAATGAGATTGTAATAAAATTCCGTATTCTCGCTATCGCTCCTCCCTCTCTCGCCCTGCCGCTCTCGCTCCCGCGCTCTCTCACTTTATGTCTCTCTTCTTCTCTCTTTCGCGAGCGCAGCAGCAGCCTCTCAAAATTGTGTGTTTGTGTTTCTTGTTGATTTTGTGATAAAATTGCAATCAACAGCACACGACACTCGCCAAAATAATAGTATTTAAAGCGATACAAAAAATATAAATCAAATACTAAAAGTGAACAGCAAAAGGTGCGTATGCAACATAAGCGACAACAACAACAAACGGCCATCTGTGAAGCTGTGCGTTTAAGTGTGTGTGCGTGTGCGAGAGTGTGTGGCAAAAAGTAGAACGTGCGAGAGAAAACCCGCGTACCCAATTTGATGACGTCTTCAACTAGACAACAACAATGGAGAAATATGGGCACTAATGTAGATTTTACTTATTTTTTTATTGTTGTTTGTGTGTCCCGACTGAGACGCCAGCAGAGGCCGATCAGATTCAGAGAAACGAGAGAGAGAAATGGACCGGTATTTTATAGTCATTGGCAGTTTAGGTACTCTTAACCCTTTTTCTCAAACTTCGATGATCACTAGTTTGGTATTCGTATAGTTTCCTCACCTGGTTTCATAATAGATCCCGATAACACCTTGTGTTTAAAATGATAACAGCTGACAACCAATAGTTTTTTCCGCTCTCTGTGTACATTTGCTAGTTCGACTTCCACCAGAGACCCCATATTCAAATCGGTCGTACAGTTTTCCTAGCAATTGGATATAGTCGATAGTGCCTAGTAACTGATGCACCTGTCAGTAGAGCCAATTGGCCTTATCGCCACGCGCCCTGTCTCTCTGGGCTGTCACTGAACCACCCACCCAACGCCACAACCATCTACTCGCTCCCGTACAGTGCCACCTATATTTGGGGGCCCCATTTCGTTGACTCTGGAGACGAATTGTGATTTGAATGTCCGTTTGTCTGACGGTCAGACTATGCTGCCCGTTGGCCTTTTGCTACCTACCTGTGTACTAAGCCGAGAGGCCAAGAGCATCACTCACTCACCTGTGCGGGACGGGCGACCCCCAAAGTGGATTCAAAAAGTTTTCCATCAAAAACCTAGTTATTTTTAAATCACTATAAGTAAACTAGCAAGAAGGGCTATTTACTTAGTAAATACTACCTGTTAATAGAAAACTTACTCCCTTGCCGTTGGTAGTAGCTAAATGTTTCCGCTTACATAGTTATTTTCAAATAAACTTCAATCTTAAACATAATTTTTTTTGAGTACGATGTTTTAATGTTTACACTGATAATATTAAAAGGTTTTTTAAATTATAACCTTGAAAAAAGTCAATAAAATAATTCAAAATTTTAACCAATTTAAAAGGAATAAAAAAAAATTGTTTCCCTAATTTTAGTTTATTTTAACATTTTTGCGTTTCTTTAAATGTAGTCGACAAATATTTCGAATAACAAATGATTAACAATACTAATAACAAACCAACGAAATTTGTGGAAATTTGGATTTTAGTTTCGAAAGCAATATTTAAATGAGGTGGTACAAAAAGTTTTGACGGTTAGTGTGGCACTTGTGCCGTTTTGTCGACAATGCGCGCGCTCCCTCTCTCGCACTCACGCAAGTACACTCGCACACACTTACACAAACACGGCCGCACTTCACACAGCAAACGAAAATTTGCAACACACATACACACAAACTCTTGTTCTCTCACTTATGCTCTCTTTTTATCTCTCCCTCTGCTCTTTTTTTTCTGTTTTTAGTGGTTGTGCAAGAAGAAGCAGCAACAATCAGGCAAAAAAATACCTGAAAAAAATAAACGGTAAAACGAAGAAGTGGCGACACACACAAACGAACGGCGAGAGCGCGCTAAAAAGTTTATTAAGTAAAAATCCCAAAAAGTAAAAAGCCAGACAGTGCGTTTCATTCCCCATTCGCAAAAAGCAAAGTCAAAATATATATTTTATTAAAAATGGTGGAAGTAATAGAGCGGCGGAGAACGGCTGCGTGAGCCCAAAGCGCGGCCAATTAAAAAACAACAACAGCACAGCAGTAGCAGTAACAGCAGCAGCCGCTGAAGAAGAAGAGGAAGACGAAGAAGCTGAAGCTGAAACAACCGAAGAGGAGGAAACAGCAAGAGCCTCGAAAAGTACATAAAAAAAGTATAAAAAATTTAAATACGGTTGAAGTCGGTAGACTAAAAGCGAACTAGCGACTAAAGAGAGGCGAGAAAACCCAAACTCCGAAAACAGAAAACCACCTTATCCAACGCAACAATAACAACAAGATCCACAGCCAACAAACCAACAACATCACACAAAATGTACGGCAAATCAAAGACATCGGCGGTTCCATCGGACGCCCAGGCCCGCGAAAAATTGGCACTGTACGTGTACGAATATCTGCTTCACGTTGGCGCCCAGAAGGCGGCACAGACATTCCTCTCGGAGATCCGATGGGAGAAGAACATAACGCTAGGCGAACCGCCGGGATTCCTGCATACCTGGTGGTGCGTCTTCTGGGACCTCTACTGTGCGGCGCCTGAGCGGCGGGATCAGTGCGATCACAGCTCGGAAGCAAAGGCCTTCCACGACTACGGCTTTGTCAGCTCCGGCTATGGAGTAAACGGAATTGGACCAGGTGGCCCCCACAATGCCGGCGGTCCGGCGCCCAGTCCCTTGGGACAGATGCCGCCCGGCGGCGATGGCGGTCCAATGGGTCCCGGCGGACCAATGGGACCGAATTTCTTTCCAAATTCGACGATGCGACCGTCGCCACCGACGCACGCCTCCAGTCCGCAACCGCCGCCGTCGCAGATGATGCCCGGTCAGCCGCCGTTCATGGGCGGGCCACGATATCCCGGTGGACCACGGCCCGGCGTGCGTATGCAGGGCATGGGCAATGAGTTTAATGGACCGCCCGGTCAGCCCATGATGCCCAATAGTATGGATCCCACACGGCCAGGCGGCGGAATGGGACCGATGAATCCGCGCATGAATCCGCCACGAGGTCCCGGTGGAATGGGACCTATGGGCTATGGCGGACCGGGAGGAATGCGCGGCCCAGCACCAGGACCAGGCGGAATGCCACCCATGGGCATGGGTGGAGCGGGTGGCAGACCACCACAATGGCAGCCGAATGCTTCAGCGCCTCTCAATGCTTACTCGTCATCATCGCCAGGAAACTATGGACCAGGACCCGGTTCAAATGGACCGCCTGGACCGGGAACGCCAATCATGCCATCGCCGCAGGACAATACGCAAGGCGGACCAGTCGGCGGACCCGGGGACAGCATGTACGCCCTGATGAAGCCCGAATTCCCGATGGGCGGTGGGCCCGATGGAGGCGGTGGAGGAGGCGGACCTGGCGGCATGGGTCCAATGGGTGGCGGGCCCAATTCAATGGGCCCCGTACTTAACGGCGGCGGCGGACCAGACGGCTCCGGCCTGGACGGCATGAAGAACTCGCCGGCCAATGGCGGACCTGGGACGCCGCGCGAAGATTCTGGCAGCGGAATGGGCGATTACAATCTAGGCGGATTCGGAGGACCCGGCGAAAATGATCAAACGGAATCGGCGGCCATTCTGAAGATCAAGGAAAGCATGCACGAGGAAGCCAAGCGGTTTGAGAAAGACACAGATCATCCGGACTACTTCATGCCATAACAACATCACCAACAACAGCAGCAGCATCTCAACACCGTGGCAGCCGCTGTGGCAGCTGTGGTGGCGGCTGCGGCGTCCAACGGATCGGCGGGTAGCTCCTCGGCTGCTTCCATTGCGGCTGCTGCTCTTGGGGCCGCCGCCTCCAATCTGCTCAGCAATGGCAACAACAATTTCTAAAGGCAAAAAAAAACCACACACAACACCACACAGCAAATAAGAACGCGGTAGTAGAAATCCTTGATACATAAGCATAAAGTAATTACCATTTAACGCATGTATGAGAAATAGATAAAGCGAAACAAAAAAAAGAAAGCCCTTAAATATAATAGACTAAAGCAGCAAATGTAAAATTGTGAAAGGATCAAACGGACATAGAAGCTTTCTGTTGCCACTGCCACTGTCCTTCGTACTGTATTTCTCGCTGTTGATTTAAGATAAGTTCGTTTCGTTGTTGTATTTTATGCTTAATTTTAGTTTTTCGATCGAAAATTCAACTCACAAAAAATGCACTGAAAGGCAGGTGGAGGCCACAGGGCAGTGGCGTACAGAATGACAGTGTTTCCGGGCTAAATTCGAGATAATACTAAAAAGTAAAAAAAAGGAAAAACTAAGCAAGAAAAGCAGTAATCGTAATGAACAAACAAATGCAGTTGAACTTCTGTAAAACGAACTACAATTAGAAGTAAAAGTAAAATTTATAAATGAACTTGAAGTTCTGCTTGTGGTTCGAATTAGAGACGTTCGACTGTGTACTTAAATGTAATGTTAAACATGTATGCAACAAGTTCAGTGAGCCTTGTGATTAGTTTCGTTGTTGCAAACACTCACCTCACAGCAAAAACCCGAGATCCATTCGCCCCAGTCCCCTATTTATAACCATTCACACTTGCTTATATAGAAAACATAAATCATACATCGCAGATCAATTGTTTGTTAAGCAAGGATAAAAAAAAATCGAAATGAATGGAATATTAATAATGATATGCATAATACCTAGTTGAGTATATAGTTAGCATTATTGGACTTGTATATGGATAGTCTGTAACCCACACTCATACACATGCACTCTTCTTGAGCTGTGCTCCATTTTTTTGCAGAATGGGCAATGATCTTTTAGATAAGTTTCGCTTGGCCCAAATTTTATTCTTTTTAATTCTCTTTGTACAAATTGTAAACTTGGCACTTTGTGGTCGTTTCTTTACGCTTCTATACTGTCTGTGCCCGTCTGTGTTTGTTTGTTTGTTCAAAACGTATTTGTTGTATTGTTTTGTGTCATTTTGTTTCTCTCATTTGTCGTATGTGTGTATGTATATGTATTTATATTTTAACCAAACAACTAAAATGAAAGAAAAAAAACACGTTATTTAAGTTCCTTCCAACGGCGAGCAATACCATTTGTATGAGATATATGACACGATCTGTACGATTTCCCTCACATTTTTGGAGAGCGGCAAAAGTTTGCACTCGTTTCGATTTCCTCACGGCATTGTGTGTGCATTAGGGCAGCGAAAGAAAATTATATAGAAAGCTATATGTAAACATAACATATATATATATATATATATATAGAAGACAGATACGTAGCCTATTGTATGCACTAATTTATTGCAAAAAATAGCTACGCCCATAACTATAAGATCTAGCTGTTTAATATGCATATAAAAAGTATATATTATATATTTCGTAAAAAACGGCAACAAAAGCAGCAAACAATTGTAGAAAACATAACCTAAAGAAAAGTTTACTTCAAAATATCACACTTAAACATAAATGCTGTACAAACAAAAGTCTTAAAGTGCATAAATTTACAATTAAAGCTGTCTGTGCTTGCATCCTTCTAGGCGATACAACAGCACATTCATAGAAGAAAACAACCAACCCGTATAAGTAGTAGCATTAGATTCGAAGCTAATTTATAAGTCCCCCAGCAAACATAAACAAATCAAAAGGAATATAATATACACATAAAGAAACGAATGAAATTTCTTTATAGCAAACACACATACACCCCTACACACCAACACACAAAAATCAATTGATAAAATAATTAAACAAAGAGAAAGAAAAAATGAAAAAAAATCTATTTTAAATATTGTATATGTTTAATGTGTCGGAATTTATAATATGAGAACGCGAGATAGGAGAGAAGAAATTTATAGTATGTGCTGCATGAATTATATCTAAATTATAGTATGAACGCCGCATCAATGATGCAAACGAAGCGAAAAAAACTTAAATAGTAATTAAGTTAAATTTATTTACTAACGCTTAAGGTTTGAGCGTTTCAATTGCTGGATCTATATAAACCACAAAAACAAAATCTATGTATAATGGAGCGGAATTAAGTAAACAAAAGTATAAATCGCCCAAACCACAAATAACAAAAACAAAAAAATGGCAAAAGTAACACAGAAAAATCGAAAAAAATAAGAAGGGAATACAACAAAAAAAAACCGATTGAATATGAAAATATGTTTAAATAAGTATTTTAGTGTTAATTATACAATTTACAAGTACACAACACAAACAAAAACAACAACAATATAATATAAAATGAAATAAAGTTTTAAAACAATATTTGTAAAAAGTAAAAACAAGAACTACATGTTTACTGAATATTTAGAGGGGGTTTTATTATAGATTTCTTATGGATCAATAAAAATATAGAAAAAAAATTACTAAATACTAATGTATATATATCAATATATCACATACATATGAATGAAGAATTACTAAAGAACAAATTGGTTGCTTGTATAATTATTCTTATCTGTATAAGATTGATATAGAAATTGTCACAATGGTCTGAATTGAAGGGTGCCCACAGCTTCGCCTTGATTTGCTCCTAAATCCAGTTGGTAGTCTTGTTGTTTGCAATCGCGGCAACATCAGTTGGACTCAATCTCCTGATTGCATACATCAAAAAGATTTCTGTTCCCGCTGGCATTAATTGAACAATTTTGCAGCCAACGCGTGTGGATATCGGGCTTTGGTCGAGACAATTGGTCCGGCACACGCACATGGCTAATGAATGGACACCACCATCACCGGCTATTGGGGCAGAGACCGAGTCGGTTGTCGGGGCAACCGGCTGTTCGATTATGGCCCATACAAATTGAGGGGGGCTAATATACACACTCGCTGGACACTCGGACCGTGTTGACGTTGCGCTTGTCACTGCACAAAATCGATAGTTTTAAGGAGTATGGTGCAATGCATATACAACGAACTTCATACGTGAACCGCTTGAGAGATCAGGAAATCGAGTTTTGCCACTAATCCTATAAATGCGGCAAAGTGGCGTCCTGCTTTTACACTTGCATGGGACTGATGCGAACAGTGGGTGGGGTCAGTGGCGGCAGCGACGACCAGATGCCAGAAGAGACGGTAGCCACGCAGAATCACTGCCCGACCTACAGACAGATTCCAGGTGTTGGAATGGCTGCAGGATCGGCACCAGCCAAGCGAGTCCCAGTCCTATTCTCCACCAATCGAGGACTCTATCTTCGCCTGGCCCAGCCACTAGGTGATGAGATGGAGGTGCTGACGCTACAGCCACGAGGACAGAATTACAACATCAGCTTCTGCGATCTGGAACGCTGGGTGAGTTTGGTTTTGCTGGGAATATGATGTTTCTGTGAATCAAATACTAATCTTTTTCTTACAGAGTACGAATCGGGCCAATGTGGTCAGCTTGGAAGATACCTTTACTATCATGCAACAGCGTAATATGTCGCCGGAATCCCTCAGCTATCAACCACGCCTTTGGAAAAATAACGTCAGCTACAGCCTGATGCACTGAACTGAAAGCAACTCAATTCATAAATCCTAAACAATACAATAGCAGTTAATCGATGGTCGAACAATTTGTATGTAAAACTTATTACAACTCTTTTACTTTAATTAATCCCTAACATAGTGTTCTAATTCAATCTATTATCTAATGGGTTTGTGTGGGCCTTTTTAGGATGAGTTACTGGTAAGTGAAGCCATCAGAAATTCCATTTTATTGAGGAAGCTTTTGCCCTCGATTTTGTCAAACCGAACCTGGAAGAAAAAACCAAAAACAAATTAATTGCAAATATTTTGTTTTGTAAAACTCGACCAACCTCTTTGAAATTGCCACCCAGATTCTCCCACAACTTTTCCGGTACAAGTGGACTGGGAAAGAAGTCCTTGTCGTGGACTTCTAGCTATGTAGACCTTAACATCTATCTGAGGATCGCAGCGTATCTGAACAGCAATCATGCGATCGCTATTGGGAGAGGCCAGCAGGCAAGAGGTAGCATTGCCCAGCGGCTCCACCTTTCCGATGCCCAAATGGTTGCTATTCGAAAGCACTGTCCAGGCCATACAGCGGGCTAAACTGATCAGGCAGGAGATCTGGTGTGAATTGATCTGGCAGAGAATCAGATCGCGCAACTCCTGCGGTTCGTAGGACAGACGCATAACACGACCATCTCGACAAATGCACTTTCAGAGAACGTTCCTTAACATGGATCACCAGGGAGGTGCGTCCAATGGCGTCGTAACCGTGCGTCACAATGTTAATCTTAACACACGACATGGTAGGACTGTTCATGGCGTTCCAGTGTGAAACAATTTGCGGATCCTTGACATCCCTGGCCAGCGTGTCGAGCACATACTGGGTCCGCTTGCGCATAAAGATGTGCTGTGCCTGGGCGATAATCTGTTCAAGTATAGTCTGCGACTTGGTCATGTCCAATAGAGTTTCCCGATCCGCCGCCATAGGACCTGCCAGCATGCGTTTTTTCGTCGGCCCTAGTGGAGCACTTGCAGGATGGGGAAATGGATGATGGGAGTTCTTGTAGTGCACTTCACGCAGCAGCTGATGCAATGAGTGTTCCAAAACATGATCATGATCGTTGATTGGAGCCGGCTGGGTGGAGTCGAAGGTGGTCGAGTGGCACAACGAGATTATCAGTTGAATGTTCGGCAGCAGGGTGGCGCGAATCTGATTGCCAATAACCACGTGGGGTATCGGTGCTTGTAGCTGGATGGCTTCACGTGCCAACTGGGCGAAGAGCTCCTTACAGAAGAGCACATTCTGGGCGAACTCGAGGGTCTTTTGCCACACGCCTACCTGTGCGGTTATATTTGGCCCATGTCCCATAAGATTAACCTGCGCAGTGCACAAGTCCTCTTGATCCTTCTGCGTAATCACCTTGATATAGGCCACACCCTGTAACTCCGCTGGGACTATCACCCGCAATGCGGAGCTGGTTTTCAGCTGCATGCCATTGTTGCTTGATGTACTGCTGCTGCTGTTGTTGGCATTGCTGGGGGCATCCTCATCCCCAGTTTCTTCCGCTTTGGTCACCTCGAAGGTCCCACTCATCCCAAACTTAGAGCCAGCGGTCCGGTAACTGAGATCCCCGATAATCGCATTAGACACCTTCTTCAGGCGCCAATTCTGTCGCAGACGTAGTAGTTCTATGTGGAAATCAGATACGTTCCGGCTGCGTTGCTCGCTGTGTGCATTTCGCAGTCGTTCAGCTCCGCTGAGGAGCACTTGGGCCGCCTGGGAAATAGCTTTCTTGCGGCTGTAGACTTGGACAATAGGCTTTGTGTCGTCAGGCTCCTCAAGCAGGGGATCCAGAACCAAGTAACGTTTATCCTTAGCCACGGAAATGACATCGGACAGAACACAAATCTCGGTGAGAGCATCCTTCAGCTTGTTGCGCACTGCGTCCCAGGGCCACAGGCTCTCCTGAAACTGAGTAGCATCCTTGTCCTCCTCGGTGGCCGCTGCTGCTGTCTTCTCTTCCTTCTTCAGATCGTCCAGCGACGTCTTGCTAAAGTCTATGCGTGCCGCACATTTTGCCAAACTCTCGGACAAAGTCGGGGGCCTAGAGAACACAAGCAAATTAGATGAGAGGAGGAATTACTACGTCCTGGAAACACTTACGGCTGATATAACTCGGTGCCATCGTAGCCAATCTCGCGTATCTGATTTTCGCAGGTGGTTTCCACAGATATATTCACGGAATTTGACATATTTAAGCCGGGAAACAAAACATTTGGCAAAGCTACAGTGTGACCGTTGAAGAGTTTAAAAAATATACACATTTCATTTTGGCAAATGAAAATACTAAACAAATACAAATTTAATTTATTTATTCTTTAATAAAAAGAATGGATTAAAATAACACAAATTAAGATTTTGATAATTATTTAAGTTACGAAATTGAACAAAACTCGTTTTCTTGGAATATTATTTAAAACAAGAATTAAGTGATCCAAAATATACCAAAAAGTTTTAAATATGCACCAAACGGTCACCTTTTAAATCATTACTTTCATATTTTTGACTTGACTTTATAACTCATACCGTTTTCAACAAGATTTCTCTCGATCATGTTGTTTTTAAAAGACAAGCGCTCTGCACTAGACTTGGCCGAGTACACGGTCATCATACCGAGCATTTGCGTCGGAAATGCGGCGCAGCTGGCCTGTGACCTGTTGATCGCCTCCAAAGAACTCCGACGAATCGGATCCCTAACACATCCGGCTTTAATTCCGGTTTACGGACCTTCCGCATACCAGCATGAACCCAAGGAAAAGGTCGCTTCCTGCGAGCTGTACGAGGGCTCCGACGACAAGTTGATGGTGGTTCAGTTCCGAGCGCCGTGGGTTGCCCGTCACACCGGCGATTTCCAGCGGGAACTTGTGGAGCTTTTTAAAAATGCCCGCCGTATTGTTATCCTTAGCGGCAGCTTTGGCTTCGAGAAACGTGTGATTGAAGAGTCGCCATGGGCTTACCGCGCCAGCGACAACTTCAAGGAGGCTCACGCCGCCCAACTGAGCAACCAGGAACTGATCAAGTGGAAGGAGCACAAGGGCGAAGCTATCTATGGCGGTGGCAATGCCCTGCAGCTTTTCAAGACCTTCGATGATCAAAAGGTGCCCGTTATGCTGTTATTCCGTTATCTCCTCGAAGGCGACAACTCCACAGATGCTTCTCTGATCGTCCGGGAACTTAACGAACTTTGCGAGGATTTCCTTCAGCTGCGCAATGGTGGCGATGGCAGTTTTAAACTTACAGTGCCCAAATCCTGGAACCTACTTTTCGGCAACGATGTTACGGAATTATTGTTTTAAGCAGCTTTTTATTTTTCGGTGGTTTCAAATACATGTTAATCTTTTGGTGTAGAGTAAAAGAGATTGCTAGCCTTGTGCTCTCGGAAGAACTCGCTGCCATGCTCCTGATGGTCCTGTCGCGTAGTCAACGTTTTGCTAAATTGGGGTTCCCTTGCGTGCCCACATGCACCAAGCCAAGCGCTTAGAGTGGGCTCATCTGACTCGTAAATGGCGAATTTCGATTGGAATGGCCGCATTTCCATCAGCTCCTTAGTTAGTCGCTCCTTGAGACCCCTGAACTTTGCACATCCACCAGTCAGGTAGACGTGTTCCACTAGGCGCTGTTGTTCCTCTGCGGAAAAGAGCTTCAGCACGAAGGCTATTAGTTCCGCTAGACCTGCCTCCGAGCAGCCAATCATGCTAGGTTGAAACAGGATCTCCGGCACTCGAATGTCCTCCACTCCAAAGTGTAACTGGTAATTCTCCGCGGCACTCTGGGCTTGATTACTAGAGTTCCCATCGTCAAAGTTAGCGTCGTAGTGATTCAGTATCTTATCAAACTGCAGCAACTTTTCGTTGTCCGCATCCGAGTCACTGTCATCGTTATAGCGATTGATCCGCTTGTAAACATCCCAATCGTTGTCGTTCATCCCAAAACCGTCGTCCTCTTCCTCGCCATTGGCCTTACGCCGTTTCTCGCTTTTGGCCAGCGACGATATGATACGCATTCGTTCCTGAGCGGCGTGGGTATGACGCTTGGCCTGCTCGGATCGCTGCTGTCGGCGTGCCTGCTTGCGCAGGAGTAGTTGTTCCCGTTTACCGTGAAGGTCAGCCAACCAGTCCGCCTGAGACACACCCGGTGGGGGTTTGGGCATCTTGTCCAGCTTTTCCTGTTGCTTGCTGGGACGCGGAGCACTTTGCGCCCTGTCGTGGGCACGCTTGATACGGGAGTTTATAGTGGCGATGAGGGAATCCAAGTCTTCTAGCGTACCTATTTGTTGTTGCTGTAGAGCACGTTCAAACTTCTCAAGCTTTTTCTGCTCGTACAGTTGCCTTAAGTTTGTTATATACGAACAACTGCTGCTCATCTTCGCGTAGTTTCTCCCGCTCTCGTCGATTCTTGATCTCTATTAGACGGTGAGCCAATTCCCGTCGCTTCTCTTGCTTTTGCTCGGCGGTTAGCATGGCATTGGTCGCCGTCACCGCATTGTAGGGCAGTTGTATCTTCATAATATGCTCATCGTAGTAGTCCATTTGTGCCCACTTTATGAGTTCTTCCTTATAATCCACGGCAATATGACAGTGCTCGTGGACCAGTTTTTCCATACGACTAATGGTAATGGCATTGAGATGTACGGGGTACTTCATTTGCATGAGCCGAAACAGATAGGTTATAATGTGATATCCACCCACATTGAGACGACGAACGTGCTCTAGCTGGAGTTTGCCACCGAGCACAGGAATTACATGAGTGGTACTGTAGCCAAAGGAAATGATCAGTCCGTCGGATAACTAAGGAAATAAGCTTTTATTATACGGTTATTGGATATTGGGGTAAGTAAAAACAACCTTCTTCTGCTTCTGCCGATGGTGTTCCCAGCTATACAGAGCATCGATTCCATATGATACCGCTGGAATGCCGTAGCATTCGAAGAGTAGCTCGCTCATCTGCTGGCGGCAAAAGCTTGGATTGGCCAGGGCCTCTGTAAGTATAATCGGGTGATCGATCTTATCCTGCCCCTCAAAGCCCATCTTCGTGAATATGTAGTCAAATATTTGCTCCTGATGATTCCAATTGGTTATAACGTTTCGCTCAAAGGGACTCTTTAAATGGGCGCGCACTGCCTCAATGTTGGTAATGTCATTGCCAACCTGGATTTCGGCAGGTGCCTCTACGGCTGCTGCCGTGGAAGAACCTTCGGCGGATGCTTGCTGTGCAGCTTCCTTTTTTCGATCCTTGCGCGGCTTGGTCAGCACATTCCGGAAACGCAGATCCGGCTCTTTGAGTTGCTCCATCCTACGCGGCATTCGTATGATCCATTGTCAATGATCAGAACACGTTTACCCACCATCTCAATTGCTTATTTCAATAGTTTACATCCAGCGAAACTTCATAACCTCTGCATATAAACAAACCAATGAAGAAGAACAGTAACTACAGTATGTATTCTAATGAGCAAAAATTCATATATTTAAAATATTTTATATATTAAGAAAACTATCAATCAACAATACTTAAAACAAATGCTATTTACATAAAACAAAATATTAAATTCACAACATTATTTAATATATCTCTGTCTCGTAGTAAGTACTGTACATTGCAGTCTGCTGCTATTTACAAAAAATACCGTTTTATGGTATTTTTTGCCAGGTACACAAATCACCAAAAATCATTTGCAAATACTAAATGAAGATTACTTAATATTTTATTAGATAAATAAATAGCATATTTAAAAGTGAAGTTTTTGCGACTTTTCCTTAAAAAAATTAATTTTTGTGTTAAGCACACATTTAAAGGTTTTAGATTTATGTTATCTAGACTATGCTAGGAAACTTCAGTTTTGTCGTTATAGGTCGAGCTCATAAAAGTAACAAATGTAAGGAATAAAATATTTTTCGGTTTCGAAATTCTTATAGAATCTCTTATTCCTTGTGGTCTATTAATTCGTAAACAAATCATTGAAAATATACGCAGTGCTGCCATATTTTAAAATATAAGCTTAGGTATAGCGGCTCCTTAGGTTCCTTCAATCCGACACAATAAATATTGGATGTTCATTATAATTTCGTTTCCTAGACCCAATAAAAGGTTTTTATTCTATTTAGATTAAAATGTTTATTAAAGTGATATTGGATTCCGATAAAAATCCAAACGTGGTATGTCTTTTAATAATATATATTTGTGTTTTAGAATTTTTAAATTTAGAAATATGTTATCTAGTTGGTATATGGGTAATATCCACGATACATATATACATGTGTATGTATATTTATTTTAATTACGTATATAACATGTTTCTTAGTCAATGTCTTTACCTACCATGAAAAGTCATTGCCATCTTGATAAGGGATTTTATTTTATTTGCTGTCCACGCTCTTTTTACATACAAGCATACGTACACACATATCTTTATAACTACAGTAGTTACTCATTTTAAAGCAATAAATAGCATATTTAAATTTGTATTCCTACTTTTTGCAGCAACCTCAGTTGATTCCAATCGAACATAATGCAACAATTATGGACTTAAAAAAGAAGCTGGAAGTTGTTATGGGACTTCCTCTAGCCCGTCTAGGATTACAAAGTTTTGACAGAACTCTTGGAGATAATCAATATCTTTCCAGTTTATTACGTGTCAAGGGACCACAAGATTCGTCGACAAACAAAATTAATGGTACAGCGTTCTCCCTATTCGAAAATGGGTCTTTCGTGTCTTTCCTTCAGTTCTATAGCAATGCAGAGGGAAACGAGCAACAAAATTTTCTAAACTTGTCCAATTGTGTACAGTTAATGCCCGTTGATCGCATGCCACAATTTTGCGAGGCGTCCGATTCGGAGGATTCCTCAATATCAAGCTCGTCAGACAAGACGAACACTAGTTTCGAATCTGCTAGCACAAGTGCTAGTTCAAGAGGGCGAAAAAGGAGAGCAAATGCTTCCGATGAGGAATCCGTAGCGAAGAGGTAATAATTAAAACTGATTAATTACTTATAATATTTGGTATATATGTATATGGGATAAATCGACAAATCAATAAGTTTAGAAAATATTTTAATAGTAGAAAATCTAAAACATATATTCCATCCATAGGATAAGGAGCACAACATCGAATGTCGTCAAGGTTATACCACAGAGCCTTTTGTCCAATAACTGCGACGGTGATAGCATCACGTCCATATACAAATCTAAGATTCAGATGGATATGACCGTATGTAAAAGGGAACCCACTACCGACATTGCGAATGAAAATAGTTATGCCTGTAATGTGGATTGCCAGAATAAACAGAAGGATTGCTGCCAGCAACAAACATGTGGAAAACGAGACAAAAGTCCGCCTTATGCCAAGACAATGCCGGAAAATCGTCGTTACAGTTTGGTTATTAGTAATTTGGATCCAAACTCAAATGACGTGGATTTCCAAGCTCTAATGGTTCACTTTTTTAAACTGTTTGAGAGCTTGGGCTTACAAAAGCTGAGTTTTAGTGAATCTACATCAATAACCAGATTTTGTTCTAAGATTTTAATCTCTTGTGAAGACAAAGATACCACTGATTGGGTTATAAGGGCAGTGGATGGTGTCATTCCACCACATTCGTGCGAACCCTTCATCAAGTTCTTTAAATTGATAAGATGCTCATTCGTGCTTCCTATTATTATTCCTGATAAGCCCCTTTGTGCCATTTTCGATTTGATCGAAAAGCAAAACTCCAGCTTGAATACAGACAAATGGAGCGTTATCGGACGTAGTGCCTTAGATTCATGTGACAAAAGCGACAGGATCGTTACAGTTTTGTGCGATAATGAGGTTATTGATCTGTATATAGACAATGAAAGCCGGGATTTGATAACTCAGAACTGCCATAAATTAAAGTACTGTTTTTGGCAGTTGAAGTTCAATTTTGACTGTTAATTATGGAAATTTACACGATATGTTTTTACTGTTATTTCTGAAAGTTATTAGTTACCATTTTATTTACATGAATAAGAGACTAATTTATTGAATTTTTAGAATGAAGGCGTTGAATTGTATATAAAAATTAATTGTTAAAGAATTTCTTTGAAAATACCCAAATAAACTGATGAAGAAATATTTATAAAGCGTTACATGAGTATCATGTTAGCAGTTATGTATAAAGGTTAATACTTAAAGGAATAACAAGAGGGAGTAAAATAATAGAAACAACCATGGTAATACAATTTTATTTTTTAAAAATAATTTGCTAACGAACTTTATTTCATAAGTATGCTTCTTACGTAAACGATAAAATGACTTCAAAAAATAATAATTGTATCATGTTAATTGGAATAAAAAAGAACATATTTTTAAATGACTACTTTATGTTTTGATAAAAATAAACTATTTTTTAATTATTACTAAATTATCTGAGGGATGAAAGATAAGAGGCTATTTATTATTAAAGAATCTTGGCCAAAAGGATAAGCAAAAAAGCGCGCCAAAATGAAAAACTGCGTGACCGCATACGGATTTTTTAGCACTCTGCAAGAGAGGCAATGAGAGACCGCATTAGAACGGTCACACTCGCGAATCTAGTGCCACAGGCAGAAACGAAGAAAACTACCACCCGAGGATTAACGGACAGGAGTCTGCCTCTCGGCAGCAGCAGCCATCTCACATGGAACCCATAGACATAGTTCGCCTGGAGGAGGCTGTAGTCTCCTTCTACCGCTCCAACTCTGAGAACCAGGCGATCACCCACGAATGGCTTACGGACGCGGAGGCCAGTCCGCAAGCCTGGCAGTTTTCCTGGCAGCTAATGCAACTCGGCAAGGTGAGTACCCCGCAGGACCTGCGCATCAATGCATCAATTGCCTGGATATGTATACTCATGCACCTACATTCTTATAACCCCCCAACACCCACCTCCACCCCAAAAACACCCACGCAGAGTCAAGAAGTGCAGTTCTTCGGCGCCATAACATTGCACTCCAAGCTGATGAAACACTGGCACGAGGTACCACCCGAAAATCGAGAAGAGCTGAAACAAAAGATCCTCGAGTCCATAGTTCGGTTTGCCGGAGGACCAAAGATCGTCCTCAACCGGCTGTGCATATCTCTGGGAGCCTATATCGTTCATATGCTGGGCGAATGGCCCGGCGCCATTGAGGAAGTGATCAACACGTTTCAAAACCAGCAAATGCCCAATGTCAGCGGCGATGTGCAGCTGTGGATCATGCTGGAGGTGCTGCAGGCCATTCCCGAGGAGGCGCAGGTAATTCATACGTCCGTCAAGCGGGTGACGCTTCGCGGTGAACTTGGCAAGCGTGTGCCACTTGTTATCCAGACCGTCGAGAGGTATCTCAAGCTCCAGATGAATCGCATTTGGGACGCTGAGACCTATAGCAACATGAACAGAGCCGTAAAGTGTGTGGGCACATGGATCAAGTAAGTGTTGAACATTTTTAAAAGGTTTCGGGCTAATTAAACATGGGTCTCCCTCAGAAACATTGGCTATACCATCGAGGGCTGCGTCACCATCACCGCCGTGCTCTTGGAAGTCGTCCACAAGTGTTACTGGCCCTGCATACGTGCCGGTGATGGCTGCATGACCGCCGATGAAAATGAGTTGGCTGAGTCCTGTCTGAAGACGATGGTTAACATCATCATTCAGCCAGACTGTCACAATTATCCGAAGACGGCGTTTGTGCTAATCAAGATGTTTCTTGATTCTCTGTCTGAAATAACAAAGACAGAGTGGAAGAGGGAAAACGATAACGAGGATATCATCGTGCATATTTACATGCTGTTTGTGTCGTCCGTAGAGCGGCACTCTACGTTGCTGCTAAGCGGGATCACATCCTCAGACCCGGAACTATCCGTGCTGGTACATCGCATCGTCCAAGAAATTCTGCACTGCACTGACAAGCCCGGCATCTATCCTGTGGAGGAGTCCTGCAGCACCATGGCTTTGGCGTTTTGGTATATGCTGCAAGATGAGGTGTTCGCCATGCAAAACGATGAACAGAAGCACAAGTGCTGGGAGTACATTAAACCATTGTACGCCCATTTAACTAGAATATTAGTGCGAAAGTCAGAGCAGCCAGATGAAAAATCTCTCGCTAAGTGGAACTCGGATGACTTGGAATGCTTTAGATGCTACAGGCAGGATATATCCGATACCTTTGTGAGTGGTTAATTTAGTTTATATATATATATTCCAAGACCAACTATCTTCAGGTGCCACATGTACTTTCTTTTCTTAGATGTACTGCTACGATGTGTTGAACGACTATATCTTGGAGATCTTAGCCGCCATGTTGGACGAGGCCATAGAGGATCTCCAAAGACATCCGACTCACTGGACAAAGTTAGAGGCCTGCATCTATTCCTTCCAATCGGTGGCGGAACACTTTGGCGGCGAGGAGTCGAGGCAAATACCCAGATTAATGCGAGTCCTTGCCGAGATTCCGTACGAGAAACTCAATGTCAAGCTACTTGGCACTGCTCTAGAGACCATTGGAAACTATTGCAATTGGCTGATGGAAAACCCCGCCTATATCCCGCCAGCCATTAACCTGCTTGTACGTGGTCTAAACTCCTCCATGTCTGCACAGGCGACGCTAGGTCTAAAGGAGTTGTGTCGTGATTGCCAGCTTCAACTGAAACCATATGCGGAACCGCTCCTCAACGCATGCCATGCCTCTCTGAACACGGGTCGTATGAAGAACTCTGATTCGGTGCGACTTATGTTTAGCATCGGAAAGCTGATGAGTCTGTTGCAGCCAGAGGAGATACCTAAGTACTTGGATATTATTGTTAGTCCCTGCTTCGAGGAGCTACAGGCCATTTGCCAATCAGAGTCGGTAAATATAATAAAAATGAAACCTATGTTTAAGATTAATTGTCTACGATATAAAACAAAAGTTAACTATCTTATGTGCTTCTTTTAGAAAACTCCCGCTGCCCGGATACGCACAATCTTCCGTCTCAATATGATTTCCACCCTCTTCTCGTCGCTCAACACGGATGTGGATGATGAGACCAAGGCGCTGCCGATTGTGCAGCCAGTTCTCCTTGTCATGCAGCGGACAATGCCTATCTTTAAAAGAATCGCTGAGATGTGGGTGGAGGAGATTGATGTCCTAGAGGTAGGATTTTAATATAAATATAAATATAATAAATATAAATTATAAATTACATTTTTTCTGAACATTTTCAGGCCGCCTGCAGCGCCATGGAGCATGCGATTATGAATTTGAGAAGCAGCTTTCAGCCTATGCTGCAGGATCTTTGTCTCTTCATTGTGGCGAGTTTTCAGACCCGATGTTGTGCACCTACTCTAGAGATATCCAAGACGGTGAGATACTTTATAAATGTAAGAAGGTGAAAAAATCTTTAAATCCTTGTGTTCCAGGCCATCGTTATGTTCTTCAAGGACGAGAGTTGCAAGCCGCTGATGCAGCAGCTTCTGAGGGAGTTCATCCAACATAGCTTTAAGCTTTTTGAGAGCACTCCCGAGCAAAACTTTTCCAATATTTCGGATACTATGGAGACTTTCTTTGGCTGTCTAACGCAGATCATTAAGAAAATCCCGCAAGTGTTGGAGGATAAGACACTGGCTTACGATCGAATCGTCTTTTACGCCCAGCGGGGGATGACATTGCCAGAGCGTTGTACGATCCGAAACTGCATCCAATTTCTGGCACATTTTGTGATGCAGTCGCGAAACCATCAACACGTCACCGAAGTCATTCTGGCCACTGGCGAGCAAATACTTTACACGACGATGATGTGTGTGGGTTATCTTACGCCACGATCGCAAGTAGATAAGTTTGCAGACATCCTTTTGGCTATAAACAAGAAATATCCCGCTGAGATGGCCATATGGATGAAATCCCTAATGGCTACACCCAATTTCCCCACCCAACTTATAAATGACGTGGACAAAACGCGTTACACAGCTCTAATAGTCAAGTGAGTGTATTTTTACGGGTTTAATAAGTAAAGAATCCCCAATTGCCTTTTTGAAATGTCCGCCCACAGGGAAAAGGTCAACAAGAGGTTATTGCAACAGCATCTATCTGAGATGGCTATGAAGACGAGAGGACTCACAGAGAAGTTTCAGTGACTGAAATGATGCAATAAACGGCCAAATGACATCTCTATCCATCCGGATTCTGATCTAGATTTTTTGTAATTTAATTTGTAATTAGACGGCTCTGTAAATGTTCCTCAATTTTAAGTTTCGCCGTTTTGGCATAGGTTATATAGTTTTCGACTCGATAAACTTTTATTTATAATTTTTACAAAATTACATGCTCCATTTACAATTTGCACATATATATTTCTTTTTAAAGGGTGTATAACTCATTTTATTTATTGTTTTCATGTTTAGTAAATATTTTATATAGTTTTTTTTATATATATATATATAATTCTTATATTGAAAAGTTTGATTTTCACCGTTTCCTGTAAGAAAAAATCTGCCTTCTCTTAAGAATTACTTTCCCGTTACCTTTCCACATTATTGTTTTGCAATTGTCCACATTGTGTATGTATCTATAATGCCAAAAATATGTAAATACATCTCTTTTTATAATATATATATATATATATATATATATTTGTGTCTATAGCTAAACTGAAGCCTTTCGTTTTCTTGGCGTGTACAGCACTTGGTAGTGGTAGCAAAACTTTCAATCTGCTTCGTCGCCCATATCTAGAATAGTTGAGAATATTTGCATAATTCCTTGTCTAACGGACCCGATAATGACTATAGAACCAAACGTATGGCTGACACGGATCCAATATTTAATACATATATATAGATTAACACATAGAAGTAGATGCTACGACCAGCAAAGTCCAAGTCTGTTGTTGTTCTTGTTGTGAATGATTCGGGGGTTGATGATGATAGAAGGATATTTATAATCATTCTTTTGTTAGGTATTTAGCTATAGTTAGGGATCCAGAAATTGGCACATTCTTAAGATTTTCACGTACTGCAGGATCCTTCTATGGCTTCAAAAAAACAAAATATATTCCTAATTCCGATCTTTTTTTTTTGCTCGATTAGGAATACATCAGTTGTCCCCACATATATTTCTATATGTATATATTATGGTTTAATTATAGGTTTAATTATAACTTTAATAGATATAAGGATGCATGTGGTGTGGATGTCATATAGCTATGTCGAAGTATGTGGCAGAAGTCGAGAGTTATATACTCAATCAAGGTGGTAAACGCCTACGCCTTAAGTTAGACAATTCAAATTCAACTGTACAATTTTTATTTTCACGTGTTTACTGAAATGAAGAGCATAATTAGGATACCAAAAATTATTGCATATCTGATCGGATTGATTAAAAGTATAGCTTAAGCATCGCTAGGTAGCAACAGCATGCAAACTAAAACGAAATCATTCAAGGCTAAGCTTCATGCGTTGGAAAAATAAATGTAAACTTAAAATGCATTCGTAAACAAAATATAATATATATATTCTCGATATCGTTTTGGGATTTTCGATCTTTATTGGTACTATGCAAGTTCATTATAGATAAGTATTTTGTATGTTTATATAAAGATATTGTGTTGCAATTTGTTTGCCACGCCCCGCTAAGCGACAAAATGCAAATGCGATGTCACCGAAGCATCCTTAAAAATTGTTTGTTCTAGTTGTGCTAGGATCCTATCCTTCCTCTCTGGAGTTTTTGTAAACATATATGCTTTCTGGCCTAAGTTTGGAGTGTATGGGTGTGTTCTTTCTTTTGCGTATTTTATGGACTTTTACTCTAATCAAAGCCTCGGGCTTTCAAAAGTATGCCGACGATAACCCGGATAGATCCTAATAGTTGTTTCCATCCGGTGGCGGTGTGGTTAGGTACTCATCCGTTCGCTTGTGCTCGATGAGAGCCTTCACGGTTCCACTGTCCGATGGCAGGTCCGATTTCCGACGAAGAAGCGGCTTGTCCTTGTTCCGCTCGCCCCGTATCTGTGTGTGGAAGGGGAAGGGTTTTTGGCAATAGAAAAAGGACCCACTAACTTTTGACAATTTCACCTTCAACATACACACACTGAACGAGTGAAGCAACACGGTGGTGCATGGTGATTAACATACGTGCGGGTGCGCTTTGTGGAACCCGGTGTTGGACTTGAATTTAATTTTGGTGATGAGTCCACCATTTTGACGACAAAAAACTACTTTATATACATCAGCTAATCCGGAAGTCCAATTATTTTACAAAGTCGTTTAGAATCGAATGTGTGAGTGGTTGTGTTTGGTTTTTAGGTGTTGAGTTGTTAACAAAATGATAATTTAGACTACATTTAAGATCAGAAATTAAATAAATAGATGATCGATTTGGTTATTTATAAACCTTTTGGACCAATCAATTTGGTCTAATAAAAGTTATAAATTAAAAGTCCATTTGGAAAGACAAAATATTTATACAATATTTCTTCGTAATAAATAACTAATTCTGTAAAGAATTTATAGTCATAGTAGGACAATATTACTCAGAAATCATATTTTCTGGATGTTTAAAATTAGAACAGAGATTTCTCTTAGAAACATGCTCAAAAATGTAAAATATTGAAAGGAAAGGTGAAATCTTGATTATTTCCAAGAAAACATAAATCAGAAACTATATTTTACAAAAGAGAAACATTATTATTGTATTAAGTAACACCACAAATGAGTTGATAGATGATGTCAAGTGTCAGTAACTACTATATAATATAAACTATTAAAAATGAACTCCGCCCAATATTCATATGAGATGAACCTCTGCGCTCAACCAAAAGTGCAAGCCAAATGTTAGACACAGATAGAGATAGTTTTTGTGTCGTAGATGGATTCATGGATTCGTTTTAGGTTGGCAGGCAACAGAGTGAGGTAACCAAATAAGTAATAAATCAATAGACAAAGTTAAAGATATACAAATATGTATTTTTTTAAATGACATGAGTGTGATTATTTTAACAGACATTCGTTCGATTAGAATTAGAGTTGAACCAGAGTGGGCCATAGCTGGGCACAGCTCACAGCTCACAGCATACGCCAGGATCACACGTGGCGGATTAGTAGTTGTTTAGTGTGGTTAGTGTGGCAAGTGCCTGTCTCACCTCTCTGGGCTCCTGGAGCCCCTGTTTCTGCGTCGGCAGCGGAGGCGGCGGCTGGCGCGCCTTCTGCTCGCTCTGATCGTAGGCTATATCGCTATTCTCACTATATTGATCGTACAGGGCCCGGCTGTCGCTGAGCGGCAGGCAGTCATTAAAGCGGCGCGCCTTCGTCCATTCCGGATTGGTCTTGGCCAAGCTCTCCACTTGCTGCCAAAGCTCTTCCCTTTGTGACAGCTTCTCACGCTCCCTGCAAATGCAATGAAATCCACAATTTTAAATTTCGAGACACTGCTATCGTTAACTTCCATTAGTGATTAGTTTTTATTCTTAATTTCTAGATTTTGTCGTCCTTATACTTGCACCTACATCTGCTTCTCCTGTTTGTAGTTCTTGCTGCACTCATCGAATAGACGCTGATCCATCTCCATGAACAGCTTGAGCGCATTGTAGATTAGACCATGGATGGTCTTGTTCCAGTGCGTCTTTGAGTTACGATTAAGCGCTGGAAACATGATGGGTAATATCACCGCCGAATTATCCGCTATCAGCGACATAATGTACTCGTTATTCCAATAGTACAACGCCCGCTCAGCCACTTGGAAATGCGGCGACGAAACGCACTTGGCTATCTGTCGGAAAAGCGGTACCATCACCTTCTGGAACTCGGCCGGCTCGATAACGTCCAGTAGCTCCTCAAGCTCGTTTAAAAACATCACCTCCTTGGGACTATGCGTCTTCGGCCAAAATTTAAGCAGGCTTCTGAAAAAATATTAAATTAACATATTAAATATTGAATGACAAATTTAAGTTGATGGAAATCAAACTTTAACAATGTGTTAAATATTTTTTTTCATAATATTTTACTCACTTGATGACCGCCTCCGATAAACTAGGATCCTTCTCAAGGAACTGCACCACACAGTAAGTAAGCTGTGGATGGTAGACCGAGAGGCTCTTGGCTTTGTGCAATGGCAGCAATACCTTAAGTAAAAATTGTTTATGCTCCTCTTTGAGCGGTAGAGCAAACCCATTGATAATGCTGCCCAGGATTTCCAACAATTCGGCTATGCCATTATGATGTTCCGTTTCATAAATAAATCTAAATAAAAATATATCTTAGTTATAGAGTTTATTTAAAGGGTTTTAAACAGCAAAACTCACCTGTAAAAGACATTGTTGATCTGCTTTCTAATAAATGCTCTCAAGCCCAAAAATTTTCCATAGATGCGATGTAAAACAGTCTTTAGGAAATCACGTTCACGTGGATCCTCCGAATCGAATAAATCCAATAGTTGTAATACAAATTGATGGTCAATAAAACGTTTAGCCATGTTCGGTTGGAAATCTGGTGACTCCAAGAAACGCAAGAACAGCTCGTAGACAAGTTGTAGATGCGGCCAAGACGATTCCAGCGTGGGTTCATCCTCCTCCGGATCGAATTCAGCGCCATTTGGATTAGATGACGGCGGCAGCGTTCGGAAAAGGTTGACAGCAAACTGGAGGGTTGTAAACAATACAAATTAGTATATGTTAAAAAGGAATCTTAATTATTATTATTAATCTCCATTACTCATTTCGAAATAAATGGTATTTCGATTACGAGTAATGGAGATTAGTCAAGTCAAATTTTAGCTAACCATATTAATCGCCTCCGGGTAAATAATTTCGGTGATAACTCCATTTTGGTTGGTGAGGAAATCGACCATTTCGTGCAGGGCCGCACGCTTCACTTCCTTCCATTTGAGGTCGCTCAGCGGCTCCGAAAAGTCGAATAGTGTGCAGCATTGTCGGATCTTTTGTATGAACAACTCCTCCCGTTCACTGGCGGCCGTCTCTAAGGGAATACAAAGTAAAACATAATTAGTTTTAGGGCTACGTTAAGAGATATCTTCTAAACTAAACATAAAAAATTGACCTTAATAATAAAAAATATAATTTAAGCGTAGACAACTACTAAACGACTAACAAAAGCAGGCAAGCGAAACTCAAAAACGAAAACATAATGAAGATCAGAAGAAAGGATCAAGTAGTTGAAGGACCTCAAGCCCAAGGGCAATGGGTAGGGAGGGTAACTCCTCCCATAGCCTTTGGCTCGGATGGCCATTTGGGATAGCAACCTCGCAGTGCAGGCAGCGCCAGGGCAACCGAAGCGGTGGGTGGCGAGTAGAATAGATTCCGGTCGCGAGCTCTTCCTGGACTGCCCGTCAGCTGTTGCAGCGTCTGGGGCGAGGCCTGGAGACCAGCCGGATGACCCGGGATTATGTCACCGTTCTGCCGCATGCTTAGGCTGGATGTGGTTACCACCAGCGTGGCGTTAGATGTCACCATTACTCCTGATGACGCTGGTGCGGCACCACCATTCCGCTGGCCAATTCCCAGTGAGATGCTAATGCCGCCCACCAGATTCTGGGCCACCGTCGGTCGCAGCTCCTCTGCGGGCATATCGTTGGTGGTGGGAACAGCAACGACAGCGGCGGCGGCGACTGCGGATGACGGCACCACTGGCGTAGAGGATGAGGATGATGAGGTGGAGGAGGTGGCCGCCGCTGCTGCCGCCGCCGCAGCACTTGTGCCCACACTCTTGGTGGCATTCAGTATGTTCTTAATGGCAGCGGCCGCGCTTACAGGTGACTGGAGGATGAGGTAGCGATGAAATGAGAGCAGAGTAGTTTTTTGGTTTATCAACATTCGGTTCGATCAATTGGGGAGGAGATAGTGTGTGATTTTCAATGAATTGGTATTGATCGAATTAGCTTTAGTGATTGCTTAAATTTTAATTACATTAAAAGAATAAATAGTAAGTTATTTGAAAAACAAAGCAAATCAAATCAAATTTTCATGTCGAAAATTCAAGGTCACTTACATTTTTAAAGATTCATTAATCTATTCTATACATACAATAATTTTAAAAACAAAAACTGATTTACTATTTTAAAAATGATTAAACTATAGTTTTTTGAATCCCAAAAGCTAATTGAGTCAATGAAGGTATTGGAAAAGTGTGTACATATTTGATGGTGCACATGTGGTAATGGTATGGCAGATTAGATGTTGGACTCGGCGCATGTGTGTGTGTGGACAAAACCAAGCTGCAAACCTTGCTGGCGGCGATGGAGCTGGCTGCGTTGTTAGTGGCGGAAGATGAAGAGGATGCCGCCGAGGCTGAGGATGCTGCAGCTGCTGCCGCAGATGCTGCGGCGGATGTGGCTGCCGAGAAGTGTTGCGCCAAAGTGGACACAAGAGAATTTCCACTACTTGGTGCTGGACCTGCTGTCGTTGTAGGTCCAGATCCCGATCCTGATCCAGAACCTGTTCCTGCCGCGTTCTTCGACATGCCGGCATTCGAGGATAACGACAACGAGGAAGTGGAAGACTGCGATCCAAAGGGCGAGGATGCAATCAAAGCCGCTGCCGCCGAATTAGCTCCACCACCATAGGTGGCCGCCGACGATGAGGCAGAGGAGTTGGCCGCTGCCGAGGCTAGCGAGGATGAGGCCGCCTGGGAGAGCGAGGACAGGGCCGAAGCCGAGGAATTGGAGCTAGTGGAAGAGGAAGAGGGTGATGAGGATGTGGTGGGTGGTGCTCCCGATCCAGAAGCTCCTGATGCCTCCGGCGGTGAGAGGGGCGTTTTCCGCCCCTCGAACTTGGCCTTCAACTCCTCCACGCTGGTGAACTTAAATCGGCTGCCGGCCTGTTGTTGCGGCTCCTGATCCTGATCCTCCAACTCGTCGTCAGCCAGCTGATCTAGACCACTGTGAAACGATGGTGATTTTGGTATGCGTATGCCGAGGGCATAATACCCGGCGGCAACGGGCTGTGGATCTTGCTCCTTGTTGGCGGATCTAATGGCCGCCGGTTTCGTTTGCTCCTTTTGCTGTTGCTGCTGATGTTGCTGCTCCTGGTGATTCTGGTTTTCTTGCTGATGTTGCTGCTGTTTGGGACCTTTAAGCCCGTTGCCCGTCAGCAACATAGCACCGAAGACCATCTCATTAGTGCCGGCACTTGGTTCAAATGGCACTCGATTCTTGATTTTTATTTTTCTTTTATTCAGCCGCCCCCGCCGACCAACAACAATACATGAGAAACACTACACTAGAAACTCAATTTGGGCACGCTAAGCATGAAACTATAGAATCTGTAATGGAATTGCAATATAGATAATGGTTTAGATTAATGCCAAATGCGATTATGCGTTAATGGAAAACACAAAACGAAATGAAATGCAATGAAAATGAAAATGGAAATGAACGACAACGCCTCTGATTAAAACTTTTCTTTCGTCATCTAATGACTTAATTATTATTATTTTTTTTTTAACTTACGATTGGAAAGGTGGATAAAATCAGGGGAAGGATAGGAGAGCAATTAACTAGGGAAACGAATATTTTTAACTAATATTAAAGTTTTTGGGGCTCTCGACGTTTGCACTGTCTTGAAACGGTTCTTTTTTGTTGCTTCGACTGCTGCGCCAATCGGAAAAATCGATATCGAGAGAACGAAATGGAGAGAAATTCGGAGATAGAGAGAGTTGGTGGGTGGATGGTTGATTAGGAGAGCGGTTCAATGGGAGAGGGAACCACAACAACAATTAAACGCTATAAAACAATAATATTGAACAAGCTAAATGTGTTTATTCGATTTGTGAGTCAAAACCGCCCAAGCAATTAGCGTAAAGGTAAGTGAATAACAATCCGATGACATTAATACTACACAGGCAAAAATTAGTACGTATCTGATTTTATAATCGAAAACATTCGATATGCCTATGTGCAAGCTTATATGAAAATGTTTTATATTATTTTTAAGGGCGAAGACTTAGCTTTTAGGAACGACTACAAATTTGAATTATATTTATTTAGTTATTTTGGGTCTTTGGTAATCACGAAACTTTTTATTTTACTTTTGTTTTGTAAGGAACTCTCTTAACTCAATTCCTATCATTTCACAAGATCTTATTTAACTTAATTAAATGCATTTTTTGTTTTAACTTCCTAAGATATTTAAAAGTAAAATTCTTATTTATTTACGTAGAAGGGGATTTAATTTATTTATTTTTCCCCTGTGTATGAGAGGCTGCGGGGAGAGCGCATGTGTTGAAATTTCGCAGATGGAGAAAGAGAAATTTGAGAGAGGTGTGAATGATGCGGCTAAGTGTGCGGCTGTGCGTGTGTGTGCAGGCCGTGCGTCAGTGTTGCCACCCACCTAATCAGACGACACTCCCTTGACCTTTAACTTTCGCGAACATGATTAAAAAAAATAATAAACAAATTACAACAGCTGAGCGAAATTAATCAAGCGCCGGTAATAAAAGCTTTCAAGATCGACTTTGCCGACCATTATTCTGAACAAACTTGCAGATCAGATGTTAAAAGCGATTTGTAAATTATAAAGCTTATCTTGTAACAATGGAAATTTACTCAGTTCTAATTGGTATTATATACATATATATGTATGTATTCCTAATTAAATACGAAGGTTTCGTATATATTCCTTTTATTATCATTAATGGAAAAATTATTCAATTGCAAAAATATTCCTTAAATCTATACCTAAAAATCGTTGGTTATAAAAACTGGGAATAGATGAAATATAATTTTTAAAAACTTTTTAAAATTTTCTTTTTATAATAAGCTTGTATGTATGAAACATTAAAATTTATTTGATTTATATCGCTTAGTCCCTGCCCTGAAAAGTATGCTATAACAAAAAAAGGAAGTAAAATCCTATAAAACCGAACTGCAGGTTTGCAAAATAACGTACTAAATTTATAGTATAAAGTAATCCATCCTTTCATATTTTACTTACTCTCATTCAAAGGACTAAGAGCCGTCAGTTCACAGTTCTTGGATGCATTATATCGGGCGCTGGTCTGGCGTTTCTCCTTGCGGACGAGTGGAGTGCCGGTAAGGTTCAGACCCTTAGTAATCGGCGTGGGCGGCGGTGCATCCCGCGGTGGTGTGCTGTCCTTGTCTTTGTTAGCCTGTAAAGGTTTACAAGGTTTGTTTTTATCGTTAGGCATTTTCAACCGTTTGGCTTATAATTAGTAAATGATAAAAAAAGTTGGTAACAACAAATGCAAAGCAATATACAAATATGGTCGAAAAACAAAGCATACTCAAAACGTAGCACTTGCAAAATCAGATCAGATCATAGCAAAGCAGTTGGAGGGTCCTTCGTTGCCATTGCGGCGATCGCTTTTTACCTTGGACTGTGCGAATCCTTGACGCCTAAGACGAGCTGCCTGTGGGTGTGTTTTAGTCTGAGTTTAGTTAGTAATGCCAAACATAGAGATGTGCACTGGGTAAGGTCAGGGTCAGGTTTTTGGTTGTCTTCCATATAGTTTTATATTGCTGGCATCTACCAGGGATTATCAGGTGGTGTCACAAACACAGGTTTTGTGTATGCATTTTCCAGGCACTAACGTTAAGGTTTTTTTCTCAGTTATTTGCTGGCCATTTCAAAAAGCAAAGTGATTGTCCTTGTTTTTTTAAAGTTATATATAAAAGCAGGCATGTCAATATGGAAATTTCAAAATATGGGAGTTTCTATTTTTTGAACATTTTATAGTTGCTCTACAAAATTGAGGAAGTTCACAAAATCTATGATTTCAGGTCAATCTAAGGAAGCGATAAATTCTTATCAAAACGTAAAACTCAAGACATTGAAATTTATAATGATAACGTCTTGAAAAACTACTTTAAAAGCAATAAATAATGCTAGATTACGGTTATCATTTACACTATCGTAAAGTTTTTATAGGGGTTTCTATTTTAAGCTATCGTGAAATTAAAAAATCGCTAATTTTTCTTAACTGATAATTATAAGTAAACCAAAATCAACAATAAAGTTAAAAAATTTTAACTCATAATTTAAATAACTTCAAAATGCGTTATTTTACCAATGAAAATTTGATTCCACAAATCTAATAAGATATCCCAAAAAATAGTCGAATTGGAAATGTAGAACATGGCCAATTGCTGATTGGCTTGTCAAGCACTGGTAATAGATTTCTGATTCGATTTGTTATCCAACGACACACACTCACTAAACAATTGGCAACATTGTGAATCTAATTGGTGTTGGTCATTCCAACTTGAATCGTGCGACAATGGGGGGTAGTGGGAGGACATAATAACACACATCATTTGCACTGATAAGATAAGATAGAGTTAAGGGAAGTGTTGTGCTCTATATGTATATATACACAAACATAAATCACATATACAAATACAATGTACCAGTAAGCATTATTCTAAGATTTACGTTTACGTCAAAATAACGGTAGGCATGCATATAGGGTGACAGGTGAAATAGAGAGACAGAGAGAGAGAGAGAGAGTGAGTGGGGAGTGTGTTGGGTGTTTGGTTTTTGGGCACATCTACTCACCTCACTGCTGATTGGAACACCGCCGCTGGTCACCACAATTGGTATGGTAGCCGTTGTGGTTGTTGTTCCCGCTGCTGCTGTTCCTACTATTATTGTTGTTGCTGATGCTGTTGTTGTACTTAAGTTACTGTTACTCTCTTTGATACCGTTAGTGGCCGATGCCGGTATGACTATGTTGTTGCTGCTGCTTGTGTTGCTACTTGTGTTGTTAGTATTGTTGTTTGTGGCCGTTTCGTTTTTGGATTCTGCTGCCGCTGTGCTTACTGCTGTTGTTGTTGTTGCTAATGCGCCTACTGTTGCTGTTGTTATTTCTGCTGTTGGCGCCGCTGCCGACGTACTGCTCTTTGTTGTTGGTTCTAACGCCTCGTTATCCATAATACGCAATCGGTTCTTATTGGGCTCTTTGGATGTGCTCTTCTCTTCTTCTTTTGTGTTTTGTTGTTTGTTTTTTTTTAGAAAAAAAATTTCAAAAATACCAATGAAAAACAGCGAAAACGAACCGAAAAAAACGTAAACAACCGGACAAACAAACAAATACAACAGCCGGGCTGGACCGCTCTCAATTGATTGCTATCTGAAAATTATATTTGCACTGTGGAGTGTCGAAAGAAAGAAATTAACGTAGCAATAACTAAAAGAAAATAACAACAACAACACACCATGCAATTAAAGCCACAAAAAATTCACACACACACGCTCGAAACACACATATACGCATCGTACAACTGGGGTCAAAATAAACAAAGGGTTTACCGAATTCTATTATGTTTTTATTATTTTATATGCAAGAATAAAAATTTCAAGAAATTGAAGAAAACTGACTTCATTAAATTTACCGGACATTCAGAAATCATTAAAAAGTATTTAGGGAATTCAATAACTATAACTTTTTTATTTTAACCCTGGCACTCGCTGCTATTTGCTTAACCACCACTGTAAACACATTGCTAATGGGAAACGGAGCAACCTTTTAGAATCTCTGGCTGTGCGCTTTCCAATTGGAATTGCCTTAATGGCGGAAAACCGCTTCGAATCGGAGATCCAAAGTTGTCACAAGAAGTCCCCACATAAGCAACATCATATTCTTATTCTCTAGCATAGAAAATCCGGTTCTAAACGGTACCAGAAACACGTTCATCCAGCGTTTTCTGATTAATTCTGTAACTTCCAATTGGACAGGTGGTGGTTGTGGGGATTTCGAATTTCTTATTTTGGAAAAAGCTATCAAATTAGCACATTTTACAGGCATTTCATTGTTTAATTTTTTTTGCATAAAACTTACACTCAAACGGAAATAAATAACAAAAATGCCAAAACACTCGCGGAAGAGAGAAATAGAGAGCGAAATTTCGAAAAGAGAGCAGAGGAAGAGCAAGCGATGCGAGGGACGAGCAACAAGTTGCGAAGCAATGGCCGTCGACCAAACGCCAGGGTTGCCAGACATGCCAAGGAAAATGGGGGAAGAAGAGCGCTTTTGGGTGGTGTTGGTGGTTTTTTCTTCCGTTTTCTTTTATAGTTTTGGAGGTGCAAGGATAGGCATTCTTTAACACAAATATAGTTAAAGCACCGAGCAAACACTCATTAGTTTAAATGGTTTCAAAAAGGGATGAAACACACAGAGAGAGTGCGATGGAGATAGTCGGAGAGAGCGTAAAAATAAAATGTGTACTAGGCACGATTAATAGTTGTAGTTGCACTTCCAAGACCCAAACACACAATTATTATATATATATTTATATGTATATGTGGGGGGAAACGAATATAACTTTGAATGTCAAGGGGCGAGGTTGGTTTTTGTGGGTTATTAATTTTTGGTTTCTTAATAGGGGGGTTTTGGGGGTTAAGGAATCTTATTTGGCCAATTTACCGCCAGAAGCTGCAAGAACTTGTTCAATTTGGCCCTGCTGCGATATAGGTTCGCCAACATCAAATTCACTGCTGATAAAAGCTTGTTCTTTACGTAAAATGCGAATTCTAACAAAAACGCTTACACACGCACACAGAATCACAGTCACACACCCACACACACGCACAACGCTCTCGAGTTAAAAATTCAGTCGAGGCTATACGAATTATTTGCGCTGCAATTTCTTCGACCGCTGCTTCGATTTTCGCGTGCAAATTTCACAAGGCTCGCTCGCGAATTTCACACCTATTTGCTCGGCGGACTATCGGCACCGGGGTCAAGTTCACCTTTTCGCTTAGAACGCACAACATCAACGGTCTGTGCAATTGTAAATAATAATTTATGTAAACTGTTTTATTCACGCAACGTTGTCGGTGCTCAATAGAAAATATAGTTGCCAGGGCTGAAGGCGCGCGGAAGCGTTGCCAGACTAGACTGGCTCTCGATAGTTTCTTATTTTTATGTTATGTTATCTCAGACTTAAAATGTAAAAAATGTATAAATACATAGACTTATTCAATTAATATTACATTTTTTGTCTTCTATTTTATGACTAACCAGGTTTTCGGATTCGCTAGTTTGTTATCTACTCCTAAAAATACTGTTATTTTACTGTTATGACTTAACGTTGTTTAACTTTAATTTTTTTATATATGTAAGAAACAAGGCATTTGAGAATTACGGTGTAGGCGTATAATGTCGTAAGCCCTTCAAAAAGTTAATATCTAATATTACTGTTCTTCAGGGCTGCTTGGCTTGTTTTAAAGTGGTGGCAACTTTCGTCTGGTGGCAACACAAAGCTCGATTGTTTATATTGCGAGTGAGACATATTTTTTATTTTTTATAAACATTTCCGGAATTTGCTATGCAGATCACAATCAAAGTCCTCAAGGGCCAAGACTGCACCATCGAGGTAATTATTACATAAAATCCAAAACCCTTTATTAGTTAATTCATGGATAAATGTTCCACGCAGGTGTCCCAGACATCCACGATTCTGGAGGTGAAACAACAGATCGAAGCGGAACTCCAAATATTGGCGGCCAATCAAAAGTTATTGCTACTGGGACGCCCCTTGAACAATGAACAGACAATTGCATCCTATCCCAATATCAAAGAGGGCACCAAACTTAATTTGGTAGTAATGAAACCCTGCCTGAGGGACAGTATCTTGCGCGGCTTCCGGAAGCACTATTCCGAAACCCAGGCAGAGCGTCTAACCAATGAGTTTATGGCTGATTTTGAGCGACAAATCAACGAACAGAGCCTGGATGATTTGGAGAGATTGGCGGATAGTATAGTCAGCAAAGCGGGAACATAACCTTAGTAAAAATGGGAAAAAAAAACCCACCCTCCCTTATGACGGAAGTCTATCCTCGCCCTACTGTTTTTATTTCCCCCTTTATAAAAAAGAATGAGGTAGTAAAAATTAAGACTTGACTGAAAAAATACAACCCATATTTTGTTTTGGTTTCACGTCGGTCTGGCAACCCTTTTGGACCAGATGCAATCTTTGGCAGTGTGCGTTTGAAACCGTGTGTGTGTGAGAAGAGAGAAGAAATGCGTGTGCTGTCGTGCAAATTTCTTGGCCGAGTTGTGAACTCCGCGCTGCAGCAACAAATCATTTCGCAGCGATCTTTATCCAAAACCAGCGCAGTTATGGTGAAAGTAAGTGGTGGCTAACGGAAAACATAGGCTTACGGCTGTACGGCAGCCTGGGAATCCGTTACATAAGCCGGTGGGGCGAACTGCATAAATATTGATTGCGGCGGTTGAGAAATTGCAACGCTTCAAGGTTACAACCTCTTCCTCTCTTTTCATTCTAACTGTTTTTGTGTGTGTGATTTTCCTAAATTTCAGGTTGGTGACTCCCTTCCTGCAGTGGACCTCTTCGAGGATTCCCCCGCCAACAAGATCAATACTGGCGACCTGGTCAACGGTAAGAAGGTTATCATATTCGGCGTTCCCGGTGCTTTTACTCCCGGCTGCTCCAAGGTACGAACATATCTTCCAATTTGCCTACATTGAAACATTGAAATTTCACTAAAAAGATCATTTAAATAAATGAAAGTGAGCTTTAAGCTCAATTTGCTACGTCTAAAACATTTTACAGTCCTACTTGCACCTCAGTGTAATTCATACAGAACACGTAACAACTGAATAATCAATTTCTTTAACCCGCAGACCCATTTGCCCGGCTATGTGAGCTCCGCTGACGACTTGAAGTCCAAGCAGGGAGTAGATGAGATTGTTTGCGTTTCGGTCAACGATCCCTTCGTGATGTCCGCCTGGGGTAAGGAGCATGGAGCAGCTGGCAAGGTTCGCCTACTGGCTGATCCCGCCGGTGGCTTCACCAAGGCTTTGGATGTGACTATTGATCTGCCCCCACTTGGAGGCGTGCGCTCCAAGCGCTACTCCTTGGTGGTTGAAAACGGCAAGGTGACCGAGTTGAATGTAGAGCCCGATGGCACAGGTCTTAGCTGCTCGCTGGCCAACAACATTGGCAAGAAGTAAATGGATTCCAGTCTCCCAGAAAAAGAACTAGAAACTCATATAGTAATGCTAGGCCGCAATGATATCAATTACGTCTTCAAAAGAACTATGTAAAACGTACAATATATGCGATTAGAGATGTTATTACTAGGCGTTTTAATATCTAAATCTGGAGGCTAAGTCTTTAATCTTATCATAGGTGTTAGCGATTGTCGGTGTTGGGAGCAATCTTCTGAGATAACAATTTGCCGTAACCGCCCCTTCCAGCGTCGTAATCTGTCCGATATTCATCGCGCACCTGGCCACCGGTTTTGCCGCGTCCATATTGTCTGCCCTCTATGAAGCCAGCATCCCAGTCCACACGAATAAGTCGATCATCCAAGCGGGTGCCATTTACAAATCTAAAAACCGAAAATAAGAGAATGGGAATTCTTAAAAGTTCTATAGATAATATTCTTTTTTGCAAATCCATGAACTTATTTTGAAAGTTTTTTATAAAAGTAGGCAAGCCAATTTATGCATCCTTTATAGACAACTTTTAAAATCCTATTGGCTACATAGAGGAAGTAAAGGTGATGTAAAATACCTAATTGTCCCCTTATCATACATTTCCTAGATGTGTAGATTCGACAGGTGTCTTTTTTGAAACTAATAACAGACCAGATATAGTAAACTGTAGAAATGCCGCGAACAATGTGGTTTTCCCTCATTTCTTACCTCATGGCAGCTTCCGCTTCGGATCTTATATAGTACTCCACAAAACAGAAGCCACACGGTGTCTTCTTGTACTTGTCCAGACCCATTACAATCACCCGGACATCCCCACAACGGGAGAATAGTTCGTGGATCTGCTCCTCTGTGGTGTAGAAGCTCAAATTTCCCACATAAAGTGTGCATGAATCGCGGAGTGAGCGTTCTTGCTCCGAACGAGAACCCTGTAATTGGATTATGGTGTTAAATATTGGTAGATAGACTTCTGAATGTACTCACCTTGAAGTGTTGATCGCGATACGAGCTTAATTCCACGGAAGCAGACATATTTTCTGATATAAACTAATGAAATATTTTCTACGCGTTTATTTAGTGGCGGTACTCCAGCGATTACTTGTTGATAGATTTGCTTTCCGTCGATTGCTGTGATCATTTCACAGGCTGTATTTATCGGTTGGCGGAAAGCGTGATTTTATACGATGGTTAATTGGTTAATTTGTTTAATAGTTATAGGTTTTAGATTATACTATTCATTTTATTCTAAAATTAAATTTATTAAAGATAAAAAAAACTTATCTTATTTTTAAAATTATTTATGAAACGAAAAACATAGAACATAGCGATACTTTTTCATAGTGTTTACCTTTTGGTATTCTCGCTAAGCGTTAGTACATTTCGAAATTGCTACTATTTCACCCAGACATTTCACAGCTCGTTGTTATTATTAATTTTATGGATTCTACACACCGTACTTAATGAACATCTCACTGAATTCGGCGGGCGGCAAGCGGCAGCTGCGCTTTCGTGGTGATGTCACCGGCAATCGAGTGGAAGAACTGCATCATCAAAAGCAGGAGGAAATTAAGCAAAAGGGACCGTTCACCCAGGATGACGTTGCAGCGACGCCGACAGCGAGCGGTAAACATGGGTTTCCTATTACATACTGAAATGTACCTTGAGTTTTGACAAACCCCTTCTCAGGACCTTAAAAAAGAGTGCTTTACCCTTGTTTTATATGAAAAAGGTCCTGAGGGTATCCTACGGCACAAGTAATCTTAATTGGGTACACCAAAAAGTGCTGCTTTAGCTTAATGGACTGTATATCCTTTTGAGATGCAATATTAATATTTTAATATTATGTTTTAGTAGAGATTCTGGAAATAAGGATATCTATTCCGTTTCTTGTTTTATTATTCTTAAATTCGAACCGCATATAAGAAATATTTAATACTTTTTAGGACCCGCAGAGACCTGCACAAACACATTCTTCGACTTCTTTAAAGTGGAGATGACGCGAGGCTACATGCTAGAGCACGATGAGGAGCGCTATTCCGCGAGGAGGCAGAAGATCTACAGTTTCATGCGCATACCGCGAGATCTGGAGCGATTCATGGTCTACGGGATAATGCAGTGTGCTGACTCCTTCCTCTACATCCATACTTTTCTACCCGTCCGCTTCCTGATGGCCATTTGGGCATTGGTCTCCAGGACAGTTGCCAGGATCTTTCGTCTTCGTAGCAGCGGCCAAAGGCTGCTATCGCCAGCGGAGATCTGTGACCTGCTCAAGGGCGTCATCTGGATGACGGTGACGTTGATAATGCTTTCGGTGGACACTAATCGGATGTATCACATTATTAAGTCGCAGTCGATCATAAAGCTGTACATATTCTACAACATGCTGGAGGTAGGCGACCGGCTGTTGTCCGCCTTTGGTCAGGATACCATCGATGCTCTCTTTTGGACCGCTACTGAACCAAAGAATTCCAAGCGGGAGCACTTCGGAGTCCTCACGCATGTCCTCTTCACACTGATTTATATGTTTTTGCACAGTGGACTGATTATGTTTCAGGTGGGTTTATCTGTCTTTACCTTTGAAATCTTATTTCTGAACTTTATCTTTCAGGCAACCTGTTTGAATGTAGCAGTGAACTCGAACAACAAGGGTTTGCTGACCATCATGATTTCCAACAATTTTGTAGAGCTAAAGGGATCCGTGTTTAAAAAGTTCGACAAGAACAACCTGTTCCAGTTGACGTGCAGCGATGTGCGGAGAGCGCTTCCATTTGTCTGTCCTGCTCTTTATTGTGGTCATCCAAACCATGAAAGAGTTCGACTGGAGTATCACCCAGTTCTGTGTGATGCTGCCCGACTGTTTTGCTGTGTTATTTACGGAAATACTGATTGATTGGGTGAAGCATGCGTTTATCACGAGATTCAATGAGCTACCGGAAAGCATATATAGAGAGTACACGACCAGTTTGGCATATGATATGACACAGACCCGACAAAAGCATGCCTTCTCGGATCACTCGGATTTGGTGGCTAGACGCATGGGCTTTGTACCATTTCCCTTGGCTGTGGTCTTGATAAAAGCCATTTATACGGCGGTGTCTTTCGAGAATTTGGCTGCTTGGCTACTTTTCCTTTTGGCATATCTGTTTGCCATGGGTTTGCGAATTTGCTTGACCATCTGCGCTCTCGGCAAGGCCTGCAAACTAATGAAGGAACATCAGACGGAACGGAATAGTTCTACACCGAGTAGCATGACCAATGTGCCTGTTCTAGGAACAGCTGCGCCTGTCTCAACGGCTTCGATAAGCGGGCAGAATCACACTTATAATAATAACAATAGTATTGGCTCAAAGCCAGCACAAGTGACAACTGTGTTAACCCCACCAAATGCAGCAAATCTGGATGTGAGTAAGAATTTCTCTCGTGCTTCGATTTCCTCCACGTCCACGCCAAAGAAAGCGGTCAGTGATCAGGAGCTAGATGTTACCAACTCCTTGGAACTGGGCGCCACAGCTCTCTTCTCCAACAGCGATGTGGATTTGGATGATGTGTGTCTCAATGAGCAGGTGACCAATACCAATACAAGCGCAGCCGTTCAGGAAGTTTACCAGGAACAGGACCTGGTACGCAGCCAGCCGGATCTGATGCTGCTTAACGATTCTGGAGGAGGAGAGGCTAACCTTAAGGTGAAGCAGGCAACCCAACGGCAGCCCAAGCGAACGCACAAACGATCCGAATCGGAGCCGGGGATTCCCAGTTTGGTGGAAAAGGTGGCGACTTCCGGAGCAGCGAGCGGCAACCAAACGACACAGCTGTAGCCATAAATCAATGCTTATTTATTATCGCTTGTTGCCCATTTTGTAATTATAAATAAATTTTAGATTTTAGCTCAACACACATGTTCTCTCTAGAATAACAAATTGTGCCTCAAAATCCTTTAGAATGGTATGCCCCCTAAGGTATATCTAAAAATAAAAAAGAATTGTAAATTCGTTTTCTGCGATGTCACATTAAAACTACCATATTGGCTGTTATTGAGCACTTTTAAAAAATAATACATATACAACATAATTTGTTTAAATATATTTATTACTCTTAAGAGGTGTGCAATTGCAAGGAAACTGAATAGTTATAATTGTATAAATAATATTCATGATTAAAAGTTGGAAGTTTTTATTGTTTAAAGGAAAACTTTGTCATTTTCTTTTGTATATAATATATTTCGTACAGCATACTATTTAAATTAAATAAAAACTATTTTAAACTCATTATGTCTTTATTGATATTACATTTTTTAAATATATACAAATTTTTTTTAAAATTAAATTTAAATTTTTTTTGGAAATTTCAAGGAGCACTTGGTGCCCACCAGGGGACTTCACGTGCACACGCGTTTACTGTAGGCAGACTCTCAGACGCTAGACATTGAAGCCCGAGATGCGTCTACCCAGTTTCGCTGGTAATTTTTCTTAATAAGATAAATTTCTGATTGATTGCCCAAATATTACTCATACGACACGTGGGCTTTGCATATGTAATAATCATTATGGAAATCTTTTGGCATCAATGAAGTAAAATATCATAAAGTAATTTTAAATTACTACATAAATTGGTTGACTTCAATGTTTTGTTATTACATTTTTAAGTTGCAATAATCTATCCTTTAAGAACATTTTTTCTGGACGTAACATTTTACTTTACGTGACATATTCAATTTAATTTCATCCCATGTGTATAACCTCACGCATGATTTATCCCATAACCTTTACCATTTCAAGACAGTAAGATGACAGTCATCCACAAAGTTTACCACAAAATTCCTAGGGGCAAAAATTGCTCTCAGCTTAGTGCGAAATTGTTTTCTGGATTCGTTTCAAAAATTGCTAATGCTGTTGCTGGCCCCGAGCTTTTTCGCTGGGTGTTGGGGGATTAGAAAGTCGGAAGTTTGGAACATCTACCTACCACACCCTCCTCAATTGAGTTGGTTTCATGAATGAAAAGGTTTCCCCGGCTTCTGTTTGTGTTTGCACGCGTAGAAAAATCAACAAGCTGCAAATGGAGTGCTCGTTTAGCCCACATCCGCATGGCTCCATATCCCAACCATCATCCCATCCATGACCACCACCCGGGGAACTTACACGCGCCATGGATATATATGTATATATCTACGCCATGGGGCGTATCAGTTTTATGAATGAAATTTTACGCTGACCTTGGAACAGCGCATTGTGGTTGCGTCAGTGCCCTGAAAAGGGGAAGGTTTTCGAAGATCCAACCCCTATCAAAAATATTCAATTTCATCCTGCGCAAACTCACCAAAAAACAAACCCAATGAGTTTCTCCTTTGCAAACTTCTCGTTGGTCATTTTCATTCATGAAAACTTCGGCTAATTTCATGAATGGCTCTTTCCCTTTTTCCCCATTTCAAGGACACACAAGACTCCTGCGGAATGGCGTCCTTATTGATTTTCCCTTTTCGCATTCATATACTTTTCACATTCGCTTTCAGCGTGGGCGAAGAAAATACGTTTTCCTCCTTGTTAAATGAAATTTGTGAAGATTTATTCATGACTTTATTGGCATTGCCCTTAAAGTCATCTGTTTTTTGGTGTTGAACTTTGACTTTCCTCTTTGGGTTTAAGAATTCGTTGAATTTCTTTCATGTTTTTAAAATATTTTTGGTATCTTCGAAATTATTTAATGAATTTATATAAAGATAACGGTAGGTAACATTTTTGTTTTGAAGTTTTTAAGGATTTTCTTTGTTGCAATTAAGATTTAATGTATTTTAAAAGCACTTATCATATCATTTCTTCTGTAAGAATATTTTTCGGTTCTGAGTGGAAAGCCCTAAAAAGTAGGCAATTATTTAGCGCAACCTTACTATATGGCCATAAGCTTACACTTTAGTTACATCTAATAACCTATATTTCAGGTAAACTTTTGATAATTTATTGCATAGTTCAAAAGAAGCAATAAGGAAAAGTTCCTTTTAAAAAAAATCATCCTCGACATCCGGCCGGCAGCCCTTGGCGAGCGTTAAAAATAGCCTTGAGTAAGTCCACTGGGAGAGGGCCATGGCCTATACTATATAACCAAGTTTTTTATGAATGAAAGCACCACACCCAACAGTACCAGGGCAATGCTTTACCTTGCTCTTGACTGCCACTCTGCCCCATAATTTATCGATTCTTTCTCCGATTTTGGGACCTGCGCACTATCCCTTTGATAGATACTGATACAGATATATATATATATATATATATATATATATAGGGGACCCAGCTGCTTATCGTTGACACATTGACGACAATGAGCTTTGTATGATGCAGCCCGTAACTGTTGCTTCCCACTGACGTCATAAGAATAGTGATAGGAAGGGTACATATTGTTGCATATATAACAAAAACGTAAAGATGCATAATGACCCAAGGGAGATGGTATTACGTTTCAATGATATAACTTATTGTATATCCTAGAACTTGTCTATAACTTATTAAGAACTTTAAATACATCTTAAATATTTGATCTTAAAAATATTAGATAGTACTAAAGCCACTGCCGGTGTAGTCGCGAAACCATTCAAACTGCTCCAGCCAGTGTTGTACTACGCCGCCGAGTACATAAAGACGTACCGGTAGATAGTCCGACTGTACTTCCTCATCGGTGGCCTCAGCTTCCTCGCCCCGTTCGTCATCTGAATCATCGTTCGACAGCAGAACATCCAATGAGATGAGGCAATGCAGCAGATGAATAACACTGGCAACCAAAGAGGTCTTGGCCATAGACCTTAAAATATCGAAATACGGATGAAGTGGCTTTTCCGGCAGTAGTATATCCTCCGGTTTTGATTTATCGTATAAAATGTACAAATCCGTTTCGGCATCACTTAATGCCAACAAAGAACATATAGTGTACATAACAAAACCGACAAATGGACGTACTACTTCTACCACTATTGAGGTTCTGTTTCCTGTACAAAGATTTATGCTGGCAAAGAGTGTTACCATCGTGAATGTATAAAAGTAAATCATATAAAAGTAATGGGTTAAGGTATCGAACCATCCCATCAATGCCGTATTGATAAAACTGAAGACATCCAGATGGAAGTGCAGCAGGACCATATTGACCATCGTCTCAACGGAATAGAAAAGGAACAGCACCGGTCGCATTTGATACAAGTAGACCCTCATTTTTAAGGATTTGACAAGAATTGCTGGGTATATCCTATTGGTTTTTGAATGTTTGAAGTGTTAAGATCTGTATTCATAGTTTTACACTTATAAAAATATATAACAACTATTTAATATAAAGTCCATATCTTGAAAATGAGTAAAAAACATGTTTTCTCTACGGGTTTTCTCTGGATTAAGTTTTATTCGAAAATAGCTTCATATTTAGTGTAAAACTTAAAGTTGTTAGACTTTAATGTACCTTCACTGAAATGACTAAAATAATAAATAAATCTCTAAATAAATCTCTATTAATTAAAAAGGAATATTTTACTGTACTTATCACTATTTGTTTATATATTGACTCCACCTTAAAGGGTTCCACAAAATGTACTTTCTGCCGGTATAGATACTTCCCATTACCAAAACTCGACAGACACGCTTTTGTTATGGCCCCCAACTCCTCTCCGGTTGGAAAGTGCTGCTGCTGCTGTTGCTGCTGCTACCGCTGCTGCCTGGGTTCGGCTCATCTCATCTCATCATAAAAAAAACCCACTTCAACGTTGGCTGTTGGTGCTTCTGTGGCTTCTGTTGGCCGGACGGACTGCGTCTGGAAACAGTAGCAACATTTGCCTGCCAGTTTGATGCTGTTGACTGCTGTTGTTGACGGCGATTACGTTGATGACGCGGAGACCGCAACGAATTTACGCGCAATTCTCCACCGTGCTTCAGCTTCATCTCAAGTGTGCCGAGTGGTAGCCCAAGCGGTATGGTAACGTAAGCTAAGGTGCGGGAGAGGTAAAGAGACGTAAGCTAAGGTAACCATTTAAATAAATGTGTGTACACAAAGACCCGGCAGCTCAGAGCCAAAATGTTAGTATACCTTATACTGAGATTCGGAAAAGTAAGTTACAAAAAACAAAGAATATTTCGGTTCTTCTTATATGACCCTTTTATGATCTATAAGAAATTCTAAAATATTTTTTAAGATTTTCTAAATAAAATTTATAAAATTAATATATTATACTACTTTACTTAAGATTACTAAAAATGTAAGAAACCAAAAAAGTTTATGAAAAATCTTTTAAAAATTTCTACAAACTGTCAAGACTGTCGATATCGTTTATAAATATTTTTCAAAATATGAAAAATAAATAAATTATAAATAAATAAATAAATATATAAATTATTTTAAAAATATTAGAATTGTAAAAGAGATTTCTTTAAAATTTTTACGAATATTTTTAAACTTTTTCCCTGTGGTGTACCTTAATCTGTGTGCCGGCCAAAAACTACAAGAACGGCCAGGAAAATAAATAAAATCAGTGGCTGCTTTTGTTGTTGTTGTAGCCACTGTATTGCCTGTTGCAAATGTATATGTATGTGTGCAAAGTAAAAGGGTTAATTCATTTAACCATTTCGACTGCGTCATCTCTTTGTGGCTTCTTAACATAAAAAAAACCTCTGGAAGCCGCTGCAATTTTGACAAGCGAACACACCGCGTTTTAGCGACTTTAAGTGCAACAACAAAAGAGGGCAGCTGCTCTTTATTTTTTTTCCTGCTCTTTTCTGCATTTTGTTGCTGTTGTTGTTTATCCCTCAAGTTTCCAGGGATCGCACAGTAGTCATCTGTGACTTATTTAAGTTGAGCTTAAGCGCGTGGCCCTGCCCAAAAAAAAAGAATATATATTTATATACTCTCTGATTTTTGCTGTTTTTTATATTATTTGTTTTGCTTTTCTGGTATGACTAGTTGGCTGAATCCTTAAATCAAATTATTTTTAATATAATTTAAGGAAATTATATTTAATATTTTAAAATACACTTACTTTAATTGGTTAGGAATAAAGATTTAACCGAAACTCAGGCAAGTATGCCAAAAAGAAATAAAAATGAACTAAACTTATATTTTAATATTTTAAATATAATTTTTGAAACATTTAATATTTGGAATTCCTAAAAGGCTTTTATTAATCAGTTTAAACAATTTTCAGTACAAAACAAAAGCTAATTAATTCACCAAACAGTGATATATAAATAATAAACAACCATTTTTGTGTTATTACTAAATATCTACAAATTAAGAAAGTTTTGTGGGTTAATAAAAGACTACCTTAGTTAAATTTCAGGAAAATCCGGATAATATTTAATCTTACAAATTTTGTATATATATTAAATTCTATCAGTTCTATGCATATAAAACTATTTTACTTCATTGTTAATTATCGGTAACAATCGATCAATTTTTGGTAAATTTTTTTAGAATTTTTTGACATCCGGCAACATTTCTCAAACGTTATTTGCGGTTTTTTTTAATAGCAATTTTTTTTCTAATATTGAAAACGTCGAGTTTTATACAGACAAACCACGATCCGCGAACATCGTTCCTTTTCTGCTTTCTTTTAAAGAAAACTGCTGTGGATGCCCAAAAAGTGCTTGTGGAAGCTTACGGTGGGCATTTGGAGTTGAGAATGAAGAGCGTGGAAGACCATCAAAAAAGTTTCAGTAAGCTGAATTATAGGCGTTGCTTGATCAGGACGATGGCTAAACCGAAGAACAATTAGTAGAACAATTGAATGTTGACCAGAGCACCGTTGGAAGACGTCTCAAAGCCATGGAAAACATTTGAAATGTCGGCAGATGAAGTAAAATGCAGTTTTATATGCACAAATATAAAATATTTTTTCTTTTTATAATTTAAGTTTTGTAGCTTAATTAATATTTTGTTGATTTTTGGTTATTAATTTTCTAATAATATTTTTAAAATAGCTCTACAAGGCAAACTTCCACATAATACATATTCAAACATAGTTTTAGAAAACATTTACTATCATGAAAATCAACCTGCAATGCAAAAAATCCAAAATAAAATATTACTAAATATTTCAAATCACATCCCAAGCCAGCCAACTTATGATCCCTTTCCTTGAGGCAGATAATGACCCAATACAATTTAATTTCGAGCATCATTGTGCCTCACTTGGCCCCACAATTAGGCGATGCAAGTTGTTACGTAAGCGTTTGGCAGCACTGCAAATTGCTGGAACGTAACGCCCATCCCAGGGGGCATGGCTATGCGGACCACATGCCATTACAAGCGGTTAAATGCAAGTGCATAAATAACAATTACAGCTGCAACTGCAACAGCAGCGGCAACAGCAACAATAATAGGCAACTCCGACCGCTCAGGTGTCAATTGGGGGGCCAAGCTGACCGCCGGCCATTTTATTTTTTTTTTTTTTTGGTTTTGTTCGCCTGCAAAAGCGCATTCTGCTGATCGCCATATATCGGCATATAATGCCCGTTGATTATTATGTTTACACTATATATGCGATCGGACGGCAGTGCAAGAGATTTTTAGTTCCCGGCTGTAATGATCCCGGACCGTTCAAATCTCAATGCAAATCAACGGCAATTAATAATTCATCGCCCGCTGGGCCTCCTCCATCCACGGACTCCGAATCCGATGGCAATTATGCGCCACCCCGCCGGCGGGGGCTATGGCTTCTATAGCTTCTATAGGAAAGAGTAGCACAATGAGCTGGAAAAATGTGCATGTGCTGGGCAGAGAGAGGGTTGGTAATGAAATATTGGGAAAATTTAAAAGGAAAAATAGTGAAAGAAAGGATTACATATGAAAAACTCTTTTTAAATAAACTCTTTTTAATGCAAAATAAATTTAATATAATATTTTAAAGTCTAGTTTTCATTAAGACAGAAAGTTTACAGATTGCCAGAAATTACGTTATTTATAAACTTAATAACCGATAATTTCTAGAACTTCCTAATCCACCCCCTCTCGTATCTAACTAAATCTTTGCCTATATTCAATAAAATAAATTTAATATGCAAAACAGCCGGACAAGAGCCATAGCAGCAGCATTACAAACTGCTCCAGTGGCCGCCTGTCGTCCAATATCAGCAAATTTGCAATAAAATATTTGTCTGGCCGTCGCTTTCAGTGGATCGGAGTGGAGAGTGGTGGTAGTGGTCTCTTTTTGTTGGCCAAGTTACTGGAGTTGGTAGGCCAACAGTGGGTCGCCGAGTGGACGCCTGGCTTGGCTACTGCAAATTATTTATTTGCACCTTTCGCCGCCGCCATCGTCTGACTGGCCGCCTTCCTCACCACCACCATCTGCACCTCCTTCTTCTTCGATCACCAGAGAATAAAGCTCTTTCTCCAGCGAACTGCATTTCCATTTGCTTATCAAATCGCTTGCAATCGGCAGAGTGAGAAATGCAGGGCAAATATAAATATTAGCGGGCTGGAAACGGGTGTCAACTGCACTGAAAGAAAATAGTTTATAACTTTTTTAAATCTGAAAAATAAAGGATATTAAAGATATTATAATCCTAGCTTTAGATAATTTGTAGAGACATATAAAAGTATGCAATGATATATGTTGTTTTATTGTTGCATACTTTTAGGTGCTTACATAAGAGTTTTTAAATTGATTGATTTTGATTAATAATAAAAAATGTATATATATATATAGGATTATAAATACAATCTCAACTTATCGCACCAATAAATATTTTTTTATTTAAAGTATAAAATTATTTCTCTCAGTGCACTCGTGGGGTGCGCGATCTAAGACTGGCGTATGAAATTAGGCGCTGCCAATGCGCCGCCAGCCATTTCGACCTGTCCGATGCATGAAAAGTGTGAAAACGAATTAGTGCCCGAGCTCAGGGATCTGGATCCCTCACTCCAGAAAAACTGGATCAGGGTAGACCCGACTGTCTGACGGAATGAGGGCCGAGGGCAGACAGAGGTCGCAAAAGTTATTAAGGTCTTTGCATTCATGATTTCTGAACGTGTCATATAGGTGAAATCGTATACAGGGTGGCCATTCGGTCACAAATTAAATAATATTATTGTTTGTTAAAGAAGCTATTTTAATAAAGAATGTAAAATAATGGTATTGTAATAAAATTGTAGAATTTTATGTGGCAAAAGGTGTTAATAATTTGTAAAAAATGTTTACTGAGTAAAGGGAAAGGGAAACCCTTAATTAGAAGGTTTATGAAGACCACAAATTGTTAGGGAATTGAACTAGAAACATATCTAGTTTTTCTAGTTTTAGTTGGCTAACAAACTCAAAACTAACTGAAATCCATACCTGATCCAATTCCAATTATAAAATGTCTAAAAGCGAATTTTCAAAAATTTATAGATACTCCTCGATCACAACTCCTTGTAAAGTCCAACCCAAACAGCTGTCCTCGAACGACTTTCAACACATGTCGCTTGTTTACTGTTTTTGCCACACCAAAATACTTTGGCCAGAAAAAGTACCCAAAGCTAAATTGTCACTTGCACACGGGCGCCCAATAATTATAACAATGGGTGGCCAATGCGACAGTCGCCGACTTGTGGAGCTGTAAACTGCGTCATGTTCACAAATTTGTTTGCATTCCGTGGTCCAACGGTGGTCGTGGCCACCACTGACAAAATGATCTACAAAAAAAGAAGAAAAAAGCTCGAAAAAACGCACAAAATGCGGAAAAAATCGAGAAGCAAATAAACCAAGCCATCGTCACATATGACAAATTTTGTTGTTGAAAATCGTGTAGCTGTTGCGTGTGTGGTTTTTGCTAAAAGTAGAGAGGAGGAAACGGTGGGAAGTAGGTGGTTGGCGGTTGCCACATGCGTGGCGCATGCGTGGCGGTGGAGTCGGTGACTATGACAAATCGCCACATGGCAGGCGGCCAATTAGCAAGAGTAGAAGTCCATACAGACTGGTTTGATGCCACCTGATAGACTCCAAGATAAATTACACCTAAAAGCCAGACTTAATTTCTTTATGCGTGGAATATATAGACGGACTTAGTGATCGATACTATCTATATAATCCTATAAATTAAGTTCATGTAAAGGGTACTAAAATGTGAATAGTAATAGGGTTCTTTATTTTGACAAAAACTGAAGGATTTCATTCATTATATTTATAATTAATTGTACAATTTTTATTACATTTATATTTACTTACAATTTCTTAATTTACTAAAATAAAAAATCTCATAAATCCTTTAGGCTTGTACCTGAAGATTTCGTCTTCCTTCTAGTTCATGAAAGGTAAACTGAACATTTTCTATAGGGTTATAATTATCCATCAGGCATTCCACTTTGATTATAGATTGTACTTTTGACCAGTGAATAGCCAACTAAAAGTTAAAAACCTTAAAAAAGACTTCTATAAAAATTCAGAATATAAGTACTCACATTATTTTGATAGGAGTCCCAAAGCTCCGGACAATCCTTAACCCTAATTAAAAGAGGTTCTTCTTGTTCACTAGTAATCCTAACTTTCACAACATCATGTAGCAAATCTACCGTCAGTTTTGGACAATTAATAAGAACAATTTCCTTTAGCTTCGTACTAGCCTTAATAAAGATCAAAAGTTGGCCATCCATCAGGTCGAGGCAGTTACAAAACAAAGCATAAGTTTGGTTTGAAGGCAGACATAACTTAATTATATCCTGATTTTCAAATTTGCAATTCACCAACTCCAACTCTTCCAAACTAAGACAGCGGTTAAGTTCCAACTGAGTTAGGTTTTCTGCCGTATCCATAAAACTGCAGTTTAGTTGAAAACTTTTTAGCCGACTTCCTTTTTGTTCGATAATCAAGGATAATGCATTTAAGGCTTCCTTATTTTCTGTAAGCTGAGTGAGTCCTAAAACCAAAAGTTCCGGCAGCTGTAGAATCTCTTTGGGACTGGTTAAAAAAGTCTGGAGATTAACCAGAAGATTACTTAAATGTTTGCACTTCGAAATTCCTGAAAGTTGATAAATGAAATTTCCTGGTAAATGGAAAAGCTTCAAATCTGCATCAGTTGATAAAATTTCCTTTAAAGCTGAACTGGAAATCTCATCGTAGATCTTAAGGGATTCCAATTTCTTAAACTGTTCAATATAACAAGCCTGTACAGGTGCATGCATCTCCAGATAGAGGAGATTACTTAAAAGTTTTGGTAAGGCATGTAAAGGCCATTGAGGGAATTTTGTATACTTTTGGGCCAAGGAATTATCCCAGCTTATTTCACAGAACTCGACATTGATTAAATGTTCAATACCCGCCTGTTCCAGGATGTTCAATTCCTCCTGCAAATGCTCACTACGGAAGTGGACACTTCGGAAGTCTGTACACATATCCTGTAGAAATAATTGCAAGTTCGAGCCATGAAGTTTCCACTGCAGTTTTCCAAAATCCAAACATTGATGTTGATCTCGCCAGAGGTTATTAAAGGCATAGGGTACTTTCTTATAAAGACGATGCAGCAGAGTTTGGTCTTTGAGAGTCAATTTGTTGAGAACCATGTGTACTAGGGCAAGATCTTCATTTTCTGTCTCCGAGTCGCTGCTGTCTACCATGAAGGTCTTACTATAACTCTCTTCGGTTGATGAAGGCATTTTCTTGTGTTAAAGTTAGGAAATGTATGGAAATGTTGGGAATGAGTTGTGTGTTTATTAAGGAAAAATATTTGCCTGCTTTGCAATAGAAAAATATTTCTAAAATCTGAATTTTACATCTTATGGTTTACATTTTCAAAAATCAAAATTGTCTTTTCATTTTTGTGGACAATGAGCACTAGCTAGAAGAGCTTAAGCCACTACAATTTGTCTGATCATTTTCCCGTCATGAAAATCTCCCCCATGGCCCACTTTCCATCTAACACTTGTGGCATTGCTACCACCCTGCTGCGATCGGATGCTAACGAGGCATGGATATGTTTTCATTTCAAACTGATTTTGTTTTATGGACCCAGGCATGGGGGCTCGACCTGATCGACGGGGACACTCCACTCCATGTGGACCGATCCAGTTGGATCTCATCTCGGGCGGCACCTTCTTATACCTCTCCATCCGAACTAAAACATTTTCCAAACTTCTTCGCTAATGAGCCGACGAGTTCTTTTTCGGTAACATATTTATGACACTTGCCTGCTCATATCTCGGCTTTTGTTTCCAAAACATTTTGCTTTGGCATCAATTAAGCGATTGACTAGACTTGCCACATTTTAGTATATATAAAAAACAAGTTTCACAATGCAAACGAATTGGAAAAGTATAAAAAAAATTTGAGACTAGGTAGCTGGAAAATATGGGAAATTGAAATGTTTTATTAATATACTTCAACAAGTTCTGATGCAAGTTAATTAAATAAATGTTTCGCGGTTTCCATTGCCGTTTATTGCGGTTGTCGACAACCGTTGCAATTCTCGCTATTTCTGACATTTCGGACACATTCGAGGAGGCGAATAAGAAATACTTTGCCGCTGGGTGGCACTACAAAACCCCACCACACCCCCTAGATGTAGATGTGATTAGATTTGCAAAAGGTAGGCTGACAGGTTACCAAATTGTCCATAACATTTTGTAAAGAAATATATAAAAATATTTAGTTTATATTTTGTAGGTTTTTATTTTCAAAAAGTCGTTAAATAAAGTTAAAAAAAAGAAGTGTAAATATTTAATAATATAAGCAAATTATAAATTTAATAAAAAACATAACCAATCAAAGAGTTTAAAGACCTTTTACTTTCTATCATCAAAAAATAAACCAAACATTTTTTTATTAAATTCCAAAATCAAAAGTTATAAAAATTTGTTTTTTACAAATTTCAAAACTACTAATTGGTTTTGACAGCTGTGATTTATAAATTCTAAAACTCCTTTCATGATGTGCAATTTTGAGAAATTACCAAATTGGTAATTTGTTAAATAAAAACTTAGCCATATTCCACATTTTTCAATCAGTGGTAGACGTTGTTACCCTCCGAATCATCTTAACCCAATCAACAAGTGCTTAACATTTTATATCTCCGTTCGTTTACTAGCTTTTGGCCATCTCGCAAGTTGTTAGAGAAAGAAAGAAGAAGAAGAAAAAAAAAATAATAACGTTTATGGCCTTGTCGGGTGGGCCTTTAAGCCAGATACAACTGCAGATACACAACTAAGATACACAGATACAAATTGTGTGCCTGCCCGCTTTTTGGGGCGTTTACATTTCGGCTTTAACCGCAACCCGTTTAAATGCCTTCCTTCCTTTTTTTTTCGGGTGCTTTTGCAAATGGCATTTTGGGTAAATATTTTAATTATTTTTGTAGAGTAACGCCCCCCTTTTGCGAACTAGATTTCGTTTCGTCTATGGGAATGTAAAAGATGGTGGTTTTCTGTTATATAACCATTTGATTGAGTCGACCTGCAGCAATGCTTTCTCATTAGCGGCTCATTAGATTGGCCAATTGACGGCTTACAACGCCTCACAACGCTCAACACGGGAAGCGCTCGTTTATTAAAGACCTGGCCAACAAGCAGCAAACTGATTACAATGCAACGCAGCCAAGACAATCCCAAAGGCATCAAACTAACCAGGCGAGCTGCAATTATTTGCACGCGAATAAACAATTCCAAACATCTCTGGGCGTTTATCACTGCCTCTTGACCATTTTTTCGCCTCAACCTGTTGGCGTTTAATTTTACGGCTTTATTAGCGAGGGCCAATCGCCCCGGTAGTGGCTACGACCAACATTGGTAATTTGATGGCCCCCAGGGCCACTGCACCACCTGCATCATTCAGTTTCATCTGCAGTTTTGAGCTACTGTCGTCGGTGAATGGCAGAGAGAAAGAGTGTGGTGTTCCTTTCGGCTGTCGGCCGACACTCTGGGAGGTCTTTGATGTTCAGGGCTAAATGGTACTTAGCGTTTTAATGAGTATCTCAAGCAGAAGTTGCATATTGTTTAGCTTCATTGTATGGCCAAAAAAAAGGAAGATCATTTTTATTAGGTGTGCAGTTTTTAAACTGGTCGTTAGTCGCTCAGGGGGAACTTTAATGACGTTTAGTCATTCATTAGAAGGTTTTTAGTCCTTGATTGGCTTTGAAACAGGTCTTGTTAGGGTATATAGAACAGCTTTCTCTTACTGAAAATACATCAATTAACTTTAAGAGATATATTAGAAACCACCAGAATGAAAATTACTAGCAATTGGTGTACTGAACCAACCTTAAAATGTCTTCAAATCATAAATGCTTATTTATTTTTCTATATTTTCCATAAAATATTTATATTTCCTATAAAAAATTCCCACAAACGTGCTAATCAATGCTCAAAGAGAAAACCTTTCCTGCTTTCCAGCAAAACAAACAAACCAAACAAACCCAAGAATTATTAACATTTTTAATGTATTCATAGCCAGGACTCTTAGAACTTTGACCTTCCTGGTCATTCAACTTGCCACTTTCCCTTTAAACAAGCTTAAAATAAACAAGATTCTTTAGAGTATAAATATTATCAATCACGTTGTATCTTTTTGCCATTTGGAATGGAACTTTCTTACCAAAAACTTCCACTCAAACCGCAACCAAAAGTCTTTATACTCCCGCCACTTGTTGCTGTTTTGATTTATGCTTGCAATTTACATTATATAAAACACGTATTTATGCGGTTGGATCTTAAGCGAGGCTTACGGAATGTTATCCCAGATTATGGGCAAAGAATTCAATTGGAAAAATGCGAATGTTGGACAAACATTTTGTTTGCAGCTTAATGATCAGTCGTTGACTTGGTTACTTTATGCCATGCGCCAGCATCGAACAACATTCAATAATAGTAATAATAATAATAATGATAGCAACTGTAAGCGCATCGCTCTGTGATTTTATGGCTAAAACTGAGAAATCGAACAGGATTGTCAGTATGTTTGTGTAGATCTCAAAGAGGAAGAAGAAGAAGGCCAAGAACCGGACTTGATCCTACCACAGCGGGCAATTGGGATTGGTTGGGCGTGCGTGTGGCATTTATGTCCAACTGTCAGGCCATGTAGACAGGCCTAAAGTCTAGTGACAATGTTGCCCTAGACGACAGCTAGCCAACAGCCTTTTTCTGGCTGGTCCACTCTCATCACGCTAATTGCCATTTACACCTAAAACCGCAATCAAAATGACATCAATTTCTATACTAATTTGGGTAAAAATGCGGGAGGAATAGAATTTTATGTTTGACAATAGGGTATTCATGGTACCCTGGAATATTGTTAGCAGAAGGTATAGATGCTTTTTGAGGTAACCTTTGGGATAATATATTATTTTGATTTTTTAAGAAGATTTATTTGTGAAGTTTTAGGGGGAAATTTTGAGTAAATGTGAAGAAAAACAAAAGTAAAGTCTCGTAATTATCGTTTTCTTTGCTTTTTAATAATTTTAATCCTTTTTTAGGTAATAAAAATAATCAATAATATTCTAGAGAATGCTTAAATGTACATCACATCAATACACCCTCTCAATACCCCTATATTCCCTTCATCAATTAAAATAAAAACATCATCAAAATGGTCAAAATACCTTTCTAAAACTCCTTTGTGTAGCATTTACCATTTTGATGGTTCCAACATTTTTATGGTTTTTGTTCAGAGGTTTTTTTCAGTCTTTAACAGGGATAGATCGTTAATTTCTGTGGGGATCTCCGTCGTTGGACAAAATACCAGAAAAACGTTTTCGTGTTAGTCCAACCATATAATATAGATCTATAAAAATTCCTAATTTTAATATGCAAATTAAGAAATTAAGGTAATTCGCATGGGCATAAAAAAGTAAATAAATGAAAGTGGAGGGCGACAAAGAGGAAATTCTTAGGCGGAGACGCCTCAATTAATAACTATTTTGCGATAATATCGATCAGGGATAGTAAAGTTTATCGTTGGATTGTAAAAAATCAACGGCATGCTGTGTTATTGGATCAATTATTCGAGTCGAGTCGAGGAAGATGAGAATGGCTATCGACTCTAATGAACACATTACATAAAATGTTGAGTTTTATGCCCCACTTTGAGGGTTTTACTTTTTTTTTTTTTACTAGACGCGCCAATTAGAAGGGCTACGGGCTTGGACTTGGACTTGAAGTTAGACTTGGACCTGGTGGAGACTCGGTTTTAATGGCAATGGGCCAAGCCATGTCTGGGCTTTGGTTTTATTGTCTAGCTACTGATCTGTATCTGTTGTATTACTCATGTTACCCGTCGTTGGAAACGGGCGGGCCATAAGAAATGTGGCCGCTCCTCATCAACCTGTGGTCATTACTTGATTAAGTTCATTTTGCGGCCCAGTTTGGTACTGTTGTTGTGGTCTGGAAAACATGATATGGGAAAGCGATACTACTCGATTTTTCCGAAACCAATACTGCAAAGGCTGGTCGATGTGACAAGTTGCAGTTAAGCTACCAAAAGCTACATAAATCGTTAGTTTATCGTGTCTAGCATTTCACCTGTTCAAAAATTTCTCATAATTCACAACATAATTGCATTCCAAAAAAAAAAAAACAACTAATTTTGACTGACACTATACAGAAGGAGTTATGATCAGTAACGACGAATCGAATTTCAAACAAATATTTGTGGGGGGAAATCTTCGATCTCGTCATGATTTCTGGCTGCTGCTGCTGCTGC